TATAGCTCAGCAGTAGAATGCATGCTTAGAATGTATGAGGTCCTGGGCTCAATCCCCAGCACCTCCATTAAAATAAATAAATAAACAAACCTAATTACCTCCCCCAACCAAAAAAAAAAGCCTAAAAAATTCTATTTTAAAAGCAAGGGAAACAAATAACTAATAAAATGAATGAGTTCCCTAGGGAAAAGAGCCACTTGGACTAACAAAAGATGAAGACTGAGAACATTTCCAAAGTCCTTTAACTCTGTTAATGATTAGAGTGGTCACTTCTGTGACTAAGGTCACCAAAGGCAGGGAACGCATCTTCTACCGTGACACTGTGGACGCCAACTATGAAACTAGAGAATTGAGCATGACGTCTTGGATTTTTCTCAAGGACACGAAATGACGTGCGGGACAGCACACTCACAGCATGTTAAATTCACTGAGGTCCGCGTGCACGAGCCGGGCGTCCTGATACATCCTCCGCATGCACTCGATGACCTGCACGTACAGCTCCCGGGCCTTGGATTCTGATAACTGCACGTTTTTCAAGAGTGGCGCTGGCCTTGAACAAAAATAAAACAAACAGCTAAGATAATAAACTGCTCCAGACCAAGTTCTCCTGCTCGACACCCCACTGACACCCACACTTCTCTTCCACAGCTCATCAACAGTTTGGTTCCCTACAGGAGATACTATTCTCAAAACTGTCCATAAGCAGGTGCTCTCCCAGCTTACTGTATAAAACATTCCTCCACAACCAGATGAGCTTCGTTACTCCAATGCATTTTGAGCCTTAAAAAGGTAGAATACGTGAATAACTCTATGCACTAACACAGTCGGGAAGATTCATAAAAAATATCCCAAGATGAAAGCTCTTTAAATGGGAAATCCTCATGTATTGGAAAATTCAAAGCACTTAAAATACAATTCTGAGCATGTAACTACTAGGTCTTCCACATACTCACATGTCATCTTTACCAATGAACCCCATGACAAGAACATGGCTTCTCAGCAGGATAGGCTCTGGGCACGGGATCTCTGCGGTGTTTAGCCTATGACATAAAAACAGATAAAGGGACATGAGAAAAGCTGAAGCAAGCCATCTGACACAAGTAACCTAAAACAACCCACAGCAGCCACAGTGCCCAAGACCAACGCTGCTCGTAGGGAACAGCTCTGGGGCCTCTCACCTGGACTCGCTCAGCCCATCCACTCTAAGACACCAGTGATTTGAAGTGTCCCCATTATGCGCCACCAAGAATGACACAGCACTGGCAGCTCAGACATGACCTCCCATGGGCTCTGACACCCAACTCAAGCCCAGAGACATTAAACTGCGGGAAAAGGGCCCCTCGGGGCTGATGAAACACGGCAGATGCGTCTGCGGTTCTCCTCTGAGCTGGTCAGCGTGAGCAGTGATTAATAGAAAGTGGATTCACAGCCAACAGCTAACAGAGCACGAGAACACTTCAGAAGGACTCTCAAAACAAGTACTTTGCTTAACAATACTAAAATAGCCAACGTATGTCACCTGTGTACAGCACATCAAAAGTTAAAAGGTATTTGAAAGAAAGAAAAAAAGAACCTTCAAATTCAAAACTTCAAATGAGGAAACCTAATCTCAGGTGCCTTTACTTGATACAAAGGTGCCAATGCAAACAGAGAACATATAAATGTGTCCAAAATTGGACTAAAGAGAAGAAAACTGTGATAGTGAGGTTAGGACCTAACAAAATTGTCTAAAAACTCCAAAACCTATTAAAAAAAGACGCATCAGTCCCACCGCCTGATGGTGTCACCGCTCTACTCCTTATCACCCTCAATTCTAGATCTTTTCACCTGGCCCCCAGGGCGCTTCACCTGACCCAGCCGTGCAGAGCAAATGGGAATGGTGGCGACACGCTTCCGCAATGGGTTCACAGAACAGAGAAGAGGAGGTAGTTCCTGTTCCCCAGAAATGTGCTGCTTCTGCTTCCCTCAGCAGATCAGGGACTGAACAGCCCTGCCCGGTCCCTGTCTTTGGACAGAACCAGCCTGGGCTGTGGTGGGAGGAAAGCGCCGAGGCCGATGTGCAGGCAGAGCACAGACAGACAGACAGACAGACACACACACACACACACACAGAGTCACCTGATTAAGTTCCTCATTTCTTTTTCTGCCCACGTTTTCACCATCTTCCTGGGGTTGCCTTTACAGTAGCCATGACGAAATCTTGAACCAGAAAAGTGTTTACTTCCATCATTCCATTATTCTAGTTTTTATTTTTTAAGATACAGAAATTAAGCCAACTGGGAGCGGGGGTGGAAGTCTGAGCTCACCTGAATTCCCCGCTCACATACTTGTCCCGGTCTTTAAACACCAAGATGGAAGTTTTATAAATTTTGATTGCTCTGCTCTCTCCATCTGGTGTGCTAGCATGGTACACATTGGCCTATTTTAAGTCAAAAACAAAGAAAATTAAGTTGTACTAACCACAAACAGTATTTTACTTTTTCAATCTATTTGATTCTATCTTCAAAAGTTAAAAAAAAAATCAAGTGAACTGAAATAATATGCATCAGGAACACCCTCATCTTCTGAATACATGAGTTAAAATACAAAACATCACACCAAAATACAGTAAATATACTTCCAATTTACACACACAGTAAAATTCAAGTTAAATACATGTGAGATGTGTTTTCAAACATTCCTGCAACTCAAAGCATGTGGGAAATATTTGAAGACATTCTTACATCTCCTGACTTATACATTGCATTTTACTGAGAATGCTTCTCACAGAATGAGTTGCTAATTCATTGAAAAACAGCAGGCCTGTCTTCTCTGTAGCCATACATAAAGGAAAAATGAGAAAGACATTTGCTGGCTAATGCAAATTGGCCCATAATCCCCTGCCCCATCAGTAACCATGTGAGCACCTCAGCTTACTGCTGGGCACGGCTGGCTGGGCTCAGCGACCCAGGGTAGTGACAGCGGTGGGGCGGCACAGTTACGTGCACAACTTCCCACCCGGCCATGGGTGCTAATAAAGTCGTTTTTAAGAAACACTGATTTAAGTACCCTGACTTGTATATGGGTTTTTTTCCCCTCTTTTCTTTTCAAAGGCACAGTTTATTTACTAAGTGCCTTAGCTTCAGTCGGTACCTGAAATAAGAAAACTAACATGAACACACTCAGGCATCCAAAGAGTAAACTCACTTCTTTCCCTGTGCTGATGCAGCCGTTGATCTCTGATATGACGCCTCTCGTCAACATCTTGAACAGGATCATCCGCGTCCTGGGATCCAGCACCTACAAGGAAGTGCAAAACACAGAAAGTCTGGAAAGGGAATACCAAGTGTTTCTTACTGGAGCATTTGACAAGAAACTGTTCTGTGTGGTCCTGGTCGACTACAGGTGTTTTTATTCATTCCCACTTCTAGCAAATAAATGTGGGTGAATTTTAGTGAGTAAATGTGAGGTGAAGACCAAAAGACCCAAAGAGACGAGAGAGCAGCAAGTTCACTCAGTCGTGGAAACCAAAGGCTGCCAAATCCAAGGGAAGCAGAAATTGACTCTAGACCAACATTACCCAATAGAAATGCAACGCAAATGAGAGGAAATTTTGTATTTTCCAGTCATCATTAAAGGAAGTAAAAAGAAACAGGTGAAATTTACCTTAATTTATTCTAATAAATCTAAAACACTATCATTTCAACGTGGAATCAATATGAAAAGTTATCAGGGAGAGATTTAACATTCTGTTTTTCACACGAAATCTTCAAAATCCGGTGTGGATAATTTCTAGCACCTCGCAAGTGAGACTGGCCGCATTTCACATGCACAGTGGCCACAGCTTCGGATACACAGCTTTAAAGGAGGGGCCAGCATCCTGTAGTTAGCGAGTCAAATCAGCCACAGGCACTCCTGCAAGCTAAAGATGGTTTTTACATTTCAAATTATTGGGGGCAAAAAAAAAAGAATTGTGACCCACAACAGCTAAAGTATTTATTACATAGCCTTTTAGAGAGAGTTCACAGACGCCTGCTGGAGATGAGCAAGTCAAGGAAAGGATCTCCTTCTAAGTCAGAGTAGTCGATCTTGAGTAAAAAGGACCCTCAAATCCTCTAACAAACAGAAGGCCATGAATTGAAGGCCTGTTCCTGTTCACACCTGAAACCAACAAGGCCAAGCATTTACACGCAGTTCCCAGGGCCAGGGCGAGGGGCTCCCCAAGGTGCGGGAGCACCCCCAGCTCCAGGCAGTGAGACTGGGGAAAGAGGCCAGAACTAATCAGACCTTAGGGCCTCTCCTTCAGTGAGGTGGCAGCGGTGACACCAGAAACCAAAGGTTAATGGAAACAAAACCACCCTGGAAGACTGTAAGATCAAAAGCAAACTACAGGGCCTCACAGTCTTTAAGGCATTAGCTTGCTGTGGCTCCCTTTGCCTGGCAAGGGAATAAAGCTGTTCTTTTCTAATTCTCCCAAACAAACAAATAAAAGCAAACTACAACCACTGCAACTAGAGAAGGATGAAAGGAAAGTGAGTAAAGATGCAGTAATCGCCAACTCCTCCTCTACCGCCCAGGTAGACAGGGGGCTAGTACCACCGGCTGAGCGGGACTCTGCATAGAGACCCGAGCGTCTGCAAAACCGCAGGCAGCCGGCTTAGGGGTGAAGGAAGAACATTCCAAAATGGCTTAAAAGCAAAATAGGAGAGATGGGATAAGCAAAACCACTTAAACCGTCTTTTTAAAATATGTATGTGTAAGACTTAAGATATATGTTCTCACCCAAAATTAAATTCAAAAGAGAAAGAGAAAGGATTTCCTGCCTGAGAGATTTCAGGGTCTTTGAAAATGAAAGCTGCCTCATCTCTCTGAGCTGGACTGTGCTTTGTTTTCAATCACAAAAGACATCACACAAATAAATAAATTAGAGGACACTGACAGTGCAGACCCCAGACCTGTTCCTGCCTGAGTGAAGTTGGCATTCTTCGTTGGCACAAGGGGGCTGGAGCTCAGGTTGGGTGTTACTCCCTGGGACTGAGGTGGATGGAAGGGGTGCATGTGTCTTAAACAAAGGTCTACAGGGCAAAGAGGTTACGTGTTTGTGCGTGTTGTGTATGGATGGGGAAGGGTGGCGGGCAGCGGTAGCAAAGTTCTGACTCATTTTATCACTTTCTTCACATCAAAAATCTGGGCCAGTCCTAATATCCAATCACAACCTTCTACATGTGAGAAAGTCAGGGGCTGATTTTCCCCATTTTGGAATGAAGAATAAGACAAACATAACTTCAGCGGGAAGGGTATAGCTCAGTGGTAGAGTGCATGCTTAGCATGCATAGGGTACTGGGTTCAATCCCCAGGACTGCTATTAAAAAATAAATAAATAAACATAATCACATCGGCTCTCAAAAAAAAAGAGTAACTTCTAAACCAAAAAAGGGATTCTAGCTGAAAATTTGAAGGCACTCTCTGTCTGTCTGTCACTCTCAGACACACACATGCACTTTGTGGCAGAAACCTGACTCACCTCATAGGAAAGCTCACAAAGTTCCCGCAGACCTTGATTAAGACAAAAGAAAAGATTCCTGGTCTTATAGTCAATTCTGCTTCCCCCTAGAAGATGAAAGCATTGCATGCTGGTTTCACAGGGACACAGCAGGAGGCGGGGCATGAGTCTAATTTACCTACTAATAGCCCTATTAAAAATAAAGCAAAACGCAGATCTCTAAACTCAAAACCATAAGAAGGAGCAATTTTACAGAGGACTCATTCTAGGTGACATCAGCATTAAGCAAGAAGGATGAAAGCAAATTACAAGTCAGAGTAGAAATGCTACTTTAAAACAAGAGCCTGCCACACAGTTAAGCATACCTGCTCCACAGTTGCTCTGTCCGCCTTATCTTTGATACGATACCTAAGCAGAACCAAAAAAGCACAGGTGACATTCAAAATTCAAAGAAGCCAAAATAAAACGTTTCTAAATGTACATATCATTCCACGAAATTCCTAAGCAGGTAGTTTCTCTAATAACACATTTCATGACCTCACTGTAGTTTCATCACTCCACGAAACTTCCTTCACTTCCCCTTAATGAGCAATTCTGTCTCCTAGGGCAAAAGGAGCTTATCTGCAGTAGGGAAAAAACAAAATTCCCTCCGCATTTCTGAAGCATTAAATAAATGGAGCAGTGGGGTAAAGTGAACCGTGCTGCGAAAAAGAAAACTCCAAATCTGCTGATACTGTCCTTTGACCTTTAATGATTCTATGAGCACAGAAGTAAAGTCATTTATAAAGCTTGCTCCTCGGAGTCCTTTCCTACAGAGACACAAGATTTTATCATTTCAAGACAGTTACTGCGTTTTGCATTACACCCAGACTCTGATCACTTCGGCTCACACACTGATTCAGTTAGCACAATAATCTAAACTGACCCAGACACGAACACAGACAAAATCAGACAGACACTTCAACAAAACAACAGACAGCATTGCTCAAAAAGCTGGTATCTCCTGGGCACGGCAATAAATCAGAAGAAAAACCAGTTTTTAAGTTCAGTTCTAACCCTACTAGCTCTATGACCCCAGTGTCATTTTCTGTGATATATTGTTAATGCCTTAGAGCTATTAGCAATAGGTTAGCCAGATCTTGAGAACAGAAGTGTAAATGGAAACTTTCTCAGTTATATCACTGTTTACTTTTAAATCTGCCCTTGAATTTTTAAAAATACTTCATGGAAGGGAACAATTCTTAATAAACTCTAGAACTGGAACATTTTTACACTCTAACATTATAAACTGACATCTAAGAACACTGGGAGCACATTCGTGAATTTCACAAGACTATAGTTTTAGCACAGATTTCTTAAGAAAACTCACTTAATATTTTCAACCTACAAAGGCATAGGATATCCTCATTTAAACTTAAAAAAAAAAGGAATTGGTTTAGGTATCCAGAGGAATATTGTCTGCAAAAGAATTATGACTAAGATGATACTTAATTTGTCTAGAATTAGTTCCTACCAGCCATGTTTTATCTTATTTATTTTTATATTATTGAAATGTTACTTACATATCTGCTTCCTTTTGTCTAGACTTTTCGGTGACTTTGTTTATGACAGAATCAGTAACATTTAGTTTATCTAAAAAATACAAAAAAGTCCACAATGTAAACAACATGTAAGACAAAAAGACAGCAGTTACTGAATAGGGTATTTCTCTTTTCCTTCTCTATTTTCGAAACACTTTATTAAACATAGTATATATTTTAGTAATAAAAAAAGTTTTATGTTTTAAGGGCAAGTGCTAAGTTGAGCTTCCTTAATTACAAGTGGTGTCACTTTCATCACTACAGCTGTCATTTCTTTTTTTTCTTTTTAATTATATTTTTTATTGAAGTGTCGCTGATTTACAATGTTAGTTTCAGGTGTGCAGCAAAGCGATTCAGTTACTCACATACATACATACATTATACATATTTAGATTCTTCTCCATTACAGCTCATTACAAGAAATTGAATATAGTTCCCTGCGCTACACAGTAGGTTACAGCTGTTATTTCTGAGCCACATAAACCTGTCCAGAAATCCTTTGAAAATATTTACCTGCATATGCTGAATTTCAGACAATTGTTAATACTTTGTACAACCAGCATAGATAATATAACTACCTGAATTACAAGCGCTTTGTGTTTTTTTTTTTCTGAATTACAAGTTGAATTCTAAAAACTTCCGTTGCATTTCAAATTACAGGTCCGGGACAGGAAGTGACAGGATATGAGACGCTGTGCAAGCTTTATTAACAGTGTCCACGAGAGAAAGAGGGCCCTGCATTTTCAAGTGGTGTTCGCATTCACATTCGGATTCCTTGCATTCCACAGCTCACTGAACGATGAATGCAACACACAGTTTCTAGTAAAACGAAATGTAGTCCTATTCAATATTCTAGTATTTTCAACACTCTCCTACGAGATAATCCTACTACAAATATAGACAACGGGTGTCAGTAATTTCATATTTCCACAACAGGAGAGAAAAGAGAACTAAAAGGGTGTAGGCTAAAGTCTTTCTTCGAAGCCATGTTTTTAAATTACTAAGTTTTAATTTTCTCTAAACATTATTACTTAGTAGCACTGTGTGTGTTCATTGCTTGATCCAATAAAATTTTCTAACACTTTGTGGTTTTTGAAGAATTTCATCATAACCCAGCAACGAACTGTATCTTATAAACTCACCTAGATTAATTTTATTCTCAAATTTCCGTAAGACCTTGTCTGCTGGAGTAGACATTTTGGCTGAATTGCAGTTGGAAGTCTGTCGATTTGCCTGGAAGAAATGAGTTCCAGAGACTAAGGCTCTAGTTACAATTACAAGCCTAAGGTCCCCCACATTTCTTTCCTTAGTTCACAGTTCATTATTAAAGCATCAATACTTACGGAAGTACCCTAAGGGAAGGTAAGAATCAATCAGGTTTGCCCAAGAAATGTTTTTAAAGGACAAAGTTACTGACTAAGAGTCTGCATTTTTGTTTTTGCTTTTAACCCCTCTACAAAGTATTCCTCATTATTGTAAATAACAAATTAAAATTAAATACATTTTCCTAATTTGACTGCTTTATAGATTTAAAATTTGAGAATGTTCATTTACTGCCAAAGTATATAATAAAGAGCTATGACCAACAGTAAACTGGTTCTAAGGATTTCACTTTGGGCCTAGCGTCTCAAGAGCAGGAAAGGTAAGTACAAGGCTCAGCCCTTAGACAGTGCAATGCACAAACTGAAACGATGGCAAAAAAAGAGAGGGGAGATGGTATCTAGGACCTACAGACAGAAGGTCAGAGGCCAAAAGGGCCTGTGACAACGGCCTACTCAAGCCTGTTATCTGCGCATGGACTTGAGGGCCCAGTTGTCTCTTGTTTGCAGAGATCTTACAATTTTCTTCTATTAAATATAACTTAAAATACATTTTAAATTACAATAATACATGTTCACAGTAGAAACCACAGGTAAAAATTTAATTACCTAGAAGTCCAGCACCCAAAGATGAACAGTTAACATGTAAGGACATATACCTTTTTTGCCCCAGCTTTATTAAAAGAAATTCCAGTCTGTGTTGCTCAAAGTCTCACCAATGAATCAGTGGTAGGGTTACCAAAACAAGGCCACGGGTAAGTGTGAAATTTCTTCAGTTATTTCAAGAATAGGAAATTGGACTTACATACGTTATCGATTCTAGTCCATGATGTAGTTGTCTGAATCTGCAAAGCAGTCAAAGAAATATTGTTGGTTTTTTCCCCCTCCCTGTCTTTACGTTCAGGAAGATGCATCACGTGAATCCCATGACTCCTCACACTTAATACTTCCAGTCTGGGAAGCAGGCTCTACATGGCTTGGTAACTTGTGCCTGCACTTAGTGGAAGACGGCAGATCACAGACATTTCTCCACATTAAGCCCTCCGCTGCAACCTATTTTCTGGCTACATAATAGCCCACTGCGTGTAAACTTAATCAAGGCGGTTTCCAGCATCCCTCTGCTAGAAACAACACGGGGAATCCCTAACTCTTGTAACTCAGTCTTCGGACACACTTAGAACTGCTGAGTCAAAGCACTTATTTTATATGGTTTTACAGCTTTTATCATGTACCAGTGTATCCTCCAAATAATCGTACCTATTTATTAACTTGACCATCAATTACATGATGTGTTTTTGTCAGTTCATAGCTGAAAAAAAGGCATCTCTACATATTTAATCTGCTTTTCTTTAATTACTAATTAAACTGAACTTTTTCTGTTTCTTAACCATTTATAGTCAACTGCCTATTTGTCTTTCCACAGGCAGATTTTTAGGCTCATTATCTTACGACAATTTAAATGACTTTTTAAATTTATGGATCATGGAAAGCATCTACATCATAATCAGAAATATAGGAAGGAGGAAGAATGAAAATCAACTAAGGCTGGGGCTACCACAGTAAAGGTGTTTAAAAAAAAACAAAACTTATTTTGAAGGAAAAACAAATAAAGAAAACATAATAATTAAAAAAAAAAAACCCACAAAGGCTGGGGCTACAGGACAATATAACCTGCTGAAAATCTTCCAGTTACTCAATTCCAGAACCACAAAAAAGTCCTTTTGAAAAAGAAGACATAAACGAATAACACAAAGACGTATAAAATCATTTATAAAATACCTGCGGATTCCCTGCTCCGTGACACCTGGTGAGTCTTCCAGCTCCAACATCCCAGTCCCAATCATCGTCGGCGTCATAATCCTCCTCCTCCTCCTCTTCTATCTCACCTTCAATCAAATGCTCATTCACATTGTTTTGAAAGTCTTCAAACAGAACATCATCTTCCTTTTTGGTTGTCTTCAAGTCAATGTTTTCACTAGAAATAACAGTGTTTCAGCATGTTTACACAAAAACTGGACTCAGATATGCATTTATTTATGATACAAGAGACTAAATCTATACCAATAAATCTGAAAGTTTCCATTATGACATCTCCCAATAAACTCAAACTGAGTACCAAGCTCTCCTGTTTTTCAGAGTTCTGTTCCAGTTGTTTTGCTCGTTCTCCAGGCCCACTAAACAAGAAGTAAATCAGATTGTTAAATCCACTTGTCTTAATAAAGTTAGAATTTATATTGTTGTCTCCTCTGCTCAATGAACTGACTCTGATCAGGACACCAGACCTGACCTCCAGGAAAACCATTCACAGAGCTGCTTTAAGAGAGGAAGGGGGAAAAAAAGCTTTCTGACAAAACGTGGGAATAAGTCTAAAGCCGTATTTCGAGCCTTAACCTCGAACTCAGTATCACTTTACAACAAAAGGAGCTGTATCAAGACTCATGTTACACAGAACTCTTCCCCTCACCGTGTTCACGAAAGGAAAAGGATGATAGGTGGGAAGCACCACAAATGAGAGAAGGCAGCTGGATATAATTAAACAGGAGAAGTGGGGGCTGTCAAACCCAGGGAACTGGCCCAGAAAAGGGAGCACAACAGGGTCTTTTTCTACCACATGAGAATTCAGACCAGTGTTACTGCATCTTCATTTTTCAAGAGAAGCCAGACTGTATTTTTGTGTAAAACGTCTCACTTTACTGGTATATTCAACTTTAACAAAACACTGTGCATAACAAACAGACATGCAGGTCAGATTCAACAGAGGTAGTCCTGCCAGTTTTGACCTCTCAGGTAGAGAGAAAACAAGTACAGAAACCACATAAAACATACGATGATGTGTATTGCCAGTTTAAAAACAGCCAGACAGGAGTTTAAGTAAATGCTGATTATCAATCCTGACCTATTAATTAGCCATGGCTTAGAGGGTTCCAAATCTCTATAAATATCATTAAACCTCTGCTGTTTACTAGGATTTCATAAACACAATCCATAAATTGATCCTTTAATTGTCAATAACCTAGGTGGCAGGTCACACCTTCACTTGCACCAGGGCAACCACGGCCGGACAAGTCCTTGTTGTGGGAGGTTGCCTTGTGCCTTGTAGGATGTTCAGAAGCATCTCTGGCCCCTGCCTACCAGATGCCACTAAGGCACCACCACCCTCAGTTGTGGCAAACAAAAATGTCCCCAGAGTCCCCGAAGTGGGCAAAATTCACTGGTTGATCCTCAATATATCCAGTGCATACTCATTACCGTTAACTATTCACCAGCCACACTGGCTGTTTCTTCTTCCCATTTAACTTAGTCCCTTAGAGCCTTCTATATGCTCACCTGAAAACACAGATCCACAACGCCCTACTCATTTCTCTGGCTAAATCCTACGTATCTGTCCAGTACTAACTTACAATCACTTGCTCAGGGAATTCTTCCTTATTCTTCACTCATTTCTCCTTTGTACTATGTAGCCAAATTTAATACAAATAATTTTTCTAATTATTTTAAATGTTTTCCCTGCGAGAGTGCAAGTTCTGTGTCATTCTGGGTAGTATCTACCAATGTATTGCGCCCAACTAACACTATATCTGACACACAGCAAGCGATCAACCTATGTTTATTGGAAAAAACCCCAACTGATTAATAAAATTTAATGTAATGAAACCTTACCGTAAACATAAAGTAAAAAACATTTTCTTGGAATTCTAAAATAAACTGTTTCATTTTGCTTTCAAGTAGGAGTGACCCATAATTCCTTTTGCCTCCAACCCCACATCTAATCTACTGCTAATCCCTGTCACTGCTACCTACAAAGCATCCCTACGATCTTATCTCCCATCATCTTTGAACTGAATTACCTTAATACTTTTGAACTGCACCCACTAAAACCACTCCCTCCATAGCAGAATGATTCCTTTAAATCATACATCAGATGATGTCACTGCCCTGTTAAAAACCCCCACAATGGGTTTCTGGAAGACCTAGAATAATGTCTCAAGTCGTTACCATCACTTGTAAGGCTCAACACGCTCTTACTAACTCTTCTTCTCGACTGCCTCCAAGGTGATCTGGGCACAATGGCTTCTAGATCTTCCTTTTACAGCCAAGAGGGATCTCACTGCAGGGACTTTGTACTTGCTGTTCCCTCTCCTGAACTGCTGTTCCCTCTGCTCTTCCTGAAGTTGGCTCCTTCCCTGACCATTAAGTCACTACTTACGTCTATCAAATGATTTTACCCTGTCTGCATCGTATATAAATCATCTGTTTCTTTTTTAAAAATATCTCTATGTACTTAAATGTCTGCCCTCCCTCCCAAGTAGAAGGTAAAAACGGCAGCAGGGGCTCAGTTTGCCTTGTTCATCTCTATCTCCAGCGCCGAGGACAGAAACAGGCACACAGTAGGTGCTCAGATATTTCTTGAACGCTGAATGAATGCTAAAGCTCAAAAACCTGTTTCCCAGTCGCTCTCTCCAATTCTGCCTCTCAGTCATGCTAAGCAACCGGTGACAAGCGGCTCTCACTGACTCTGCGGTCAACTGGAGGGAAAGGCCCGGCTGGGATGAAGAAAGCAGCAACAGAATGTGAAGAGAGCCCCCGAGTGATGAATTACAAGTGTCACCTCCCAAGGCGCGGCGGCGGAGCTGAGAGCACAACCCCCAAAGCGTCGGTGTACTCACGGCCGCCTACCTGTCGGAGGAGTCGGCGTCGTCAAACTGCCCCGGGACCACCCGACTCATCAGCAGCCGCCGGTAGTCCATGACGCAGGCGCGCAGAGCCTCAGCGCCACCGGGGGCCGCTCGCCCTGCGCTGGGGCGGGAACGGCACAGAGACGGTTCCACCCGCCGATCCAACGGCCTCTCCGCGGATGCCCGCTCGCAAACCGCTCAGAAGTCCTTCCGCCCAGAGCGCGAGCCACGTGCAGCGAGGGATCTCCACCCCCGTCACCCGGGCCCTCCCTGACCGGAAGCCTCGCCCTGATCGGAAGCGGCGCTCTCACCGGAAGCCCCGCCCCGCGCAGGGGAGAGCGCCGGAAGTTCGCGCCTCGCTGTGCGCGACCCATCGATCGGTGAGGCGTTCTTGCTGAGGGCGTTCTTGCTGAGGCCCTTCCTCCCGGCCTCTTTAGTCCCTGCGTCCCGGTTTGTTTCCTCCCGTGGAAGGACGCGTAGGCTAGCCCACGGCTGCTGCACCTGAGGCTCACACCCGTATAACCTCCCGGCTCTGCGATCAGAGACTGCGAGGCCCCCGAGGCCGCGGCCGCGGGGCCGTCGGAGGTTCCCCAGGGCGTGGAGCCTGGCAGGCGCGGCTCCCCGCCGGGATTGGCCGGCGCGGCCGGGCGGACGTCACACAGGGACGATCCAGCGCGTCCGCCTCCCGAGTGCGAGTTGTTAGAAGCCATCCCTGGATAAGGTTGAAAAGCGTTCTCCCTCCCGCGGAAGCCGGTGCGCAGGGAGGAAGCCAGAAATCCCTTATTGTGGATCCGAGAAACTATGGACCCTGGAAGTGAGCACACTTTTGCAACTTAAAAAGTTTGTTGCGTTGTTTTCAGGTGAAAATAAGTGCTTTTCAAAAGTTGAAGTTTGACATACGGCTAAAAAATTATTAAAAAACAAAGCCTTAGAATCTTTGCCAGTAACTTCGGGTGACACCTTTTTTAGGCGCCCATCCTCATATTCTTCGGAGTGTCTCTGGGATACCTAGCCAAACATTTGAGTAAGTTTTTTTTTGAAAGTCTAGCATATATCTGGTAAGGACAGAGTGAAAGATTTTACAAAATAAGCCTCCCTTTAAAAGCAAAGTAAATTGGTAGGTTGTGCCAGATGAACAAAATTGTAAAAGTGTAGTAATTGGAAGTTCTGAGTTCACAGACAAAAATTTTTTAAAGAAATAAAGCCCTTGTGGTTTTTTGTATTTCGAAGACAAAACAGGGATTTTTCAGATCCTCTTCACAGCCCGGGCAGCATTTATGTGTTTGGAAGACAGCGAAGAGGTGAGCCTATGACTACCCTGCCTGGCTCACTGGCTTTTTTATACTTCCCAAATGATAACAGGTTTGAGAAAATTAAACCTGAATAGATTATTTATTAGTTTGATAATTCACTAAAATTATCCAAGCAAATGAGTAAGTGACTGTAGATTGAAAAGTTTTAATAGAAATAAAGCATTGGAGTGCAGGATTTATTCAATCACAATTTATTCAATCAATATGTACTCTGAAAAACACTGGTTGGTTTGCTGTAGAGGGTATTGAAAAACCATAAATGGACTCCTCCTCGGTGTGTCTAGTATGTAAGTGCAAACACTAACACGCTTGAAACAGTGGTGAAGTCTAAAACAGTAAAATGGGTGCTGAATTGTGAGGTACAAATTTAGGCTAAAGACACTGTAGGAATTTAAAAAATGCATGAATGCATAAACAGGAAGGTTTTAGGAAGGAGAAGCACTTGCTGGGGCAAACCACTGACGTGGTAGGGAGCATGAGCTGTTCGCAGGGAAGTAAGCCAGATCTGACTCCAGCAGAGGAGTACTGGGCAGGTAATGTGGGTCCAGGCTATGGAAAACCTAGAAAGTCAGGCAGAAGAATTTGGACTCTGGACATCCCTTCTATTCCCATCCCCTGGTAGATCTGAGGAGGTCACAAGAATATGGACCAGAGTGAAGCCATAAGGGATGGAAAGAAAGCATGCGTTATGGCAAACGTTTTTAGAGGAGAAATGGGCAGGACTTAATAATTGAATAGCTCATGGTTGGGGTGATGAGTTAGAAAGATGCTGAAGATGTTTCCAGGTTTTCAAACCCAAGTGCCTGAGAGAATAAGTATGGTGTAGGGAAGGGAGAGAAAACTGATTTTCAATGTTGGATTTGACTTACTGAGATATTTGAATAGAATGTATCACGTAAACAGAAATACAGTGTTTTGTGGACCCTAATAGGTCTCTGATAATATTTTGTAAATATTTTTTTGGTTAAGTGACCGAGAGATCCCTTCACCTTCTGGGACCCAAGCCTTTTAGGGAATCACTGGATAGTAGCCACACATACTGACTTGTTTTTGTCCAAATTAGTATTTACTACCTACAGATTTATCAAGACCTTGTACTAACTTTTTATTTTTTCCAGTAACTTCATAAATGACATTTTAAAATTTAGGACAGTGAACTGTGCTGCTTTCTTAACGTGAGGAGAGATGAGGAAAGAAGCTTTTTGTTTGCAGATACTAATAGACGTTAAAATTTTCTTTTAAAAAGGCCTTTCACCATTCAACAGTTAGGAACAAGGACTATGAAAGGGTTTGGTCATCACCTTCAGATCCTGTCCATTTTGAGGTGGATACTTCTCATGAAAAATTAGAAAGCATGTCAGAAGCAGATGCTGTGAATTTCAGCAGTCTTTCTCGAGACTTAACTCAATCAAATTCTCCCTTCTGTATGGAAACCAGCAGTGCCACTTCAGACTTGCCTCAGGTGTGCATTGTTTGTAAGTTCCAGGAGGTACAGATGTCTTCAGCCTTTACATTGTCTTCTGTATTAAATTTCATCAAAAGTATGAGGGACAGTCTGCAGTGGAGGCATGAAGGAAGGGAATACAGGGTCTGATTTTCCTAGTTGCATCAGTGTATGAAGAAAGGTAGAATTTTACAAATGGAGCGAACTCCCTGGAGTGCTGCCACGTGATGTGGCCACAGAGACTCAGATTGCAGCATCTGGTCTAGAACATCTTCCGCTAGATGATTCAGATATCGTTCAGAATGACATTGACAGTGCCCTGCATGTAAATGACTTCCCATCTCAGTGAAAATTCCTAGTGCCCTTTCTTACGAGATGAAAATTCGTAATGTCCCTGGATTTTCATGACTGTTCTAAATGCTTGACAGTTATTAGCTTGAGTATAGGGAAACAATAGGAACATATTAGGTTGTGCCGTATGAAATTGCCTTTTTGTAGTTCAAAATGGATGAATAGTGACGTGTCATGTGATTTGGGCCATAATTTGGCATAACCTTTCTAAAGGGCTGTTCAGTGATAAGGCTGTTTAATCAAGAGTTTAACTGCACATTTTACCTTTAATTCTACCTGTAGGTAAAATACAAATGAGATATTTGCAGAGTGATCCATAATAACTAAACATTGGAAACAACCTAAATTTTCATCAGTATGGGCCTAGTTATTACACAGATGTACAGGGGATATGTAAACTTAAAATATGACAATACAAGTATATATTTGACATGGAAAAGTGGTCACATTGCTTCTCACTGGGTAGTGGGCTTTTGAATGTTTTTTACTTTTCTCTTTTTAAACAATGTTCAAGATTCTTTTTTATAATTATAAAAAATTATTTTCATTTTTGAAGAAAAAATTTGATCATAACATTACAGTGTTAGTCAGGGTCTAAGATACTATATACTGAATTGTAAAGAATGAATATTCTTTACCCTATAATAATATGTCTTAAATTATGTAAGAGTTCCTTCCTCTTGGATTTCACAGCATTTTATTCTTTATAAAAAAATGTATAGACCACAGGAACAGAAGGCATGTTTTAATTAAAAACAGTAATATCGTAGAATACTGGAGTTAGAAGGATCTCTAGAATTTGATGAGGAGTTCCAAGAAGTTTGTATAAATATAACATCAATACATGTCAGTAGTGCTTTATTTTATTTTTCAAGTATATTATTCTTGATACTTTTAAACTCTAATTAGGAGGGATGGTCTCAACTGACAAGTCTAAAAACAGATTGTCATAAAATACAACATGGTTTTTATAGTACTTTAAATGCTTTCAATAAGTCGAACAGTGCTATAAAGCATTACTGAATACAGCTTTGTAACCAGCTGACTTTAATAAGGGATAAGAATTTTTAAAGACTTTAATAAGGGATAAGAATTTTTAAAGAGCATCATTTAGGCCACCTTACTTGATACACTATTCATGATTAAACCAATGTTTTCCTCAAATATTGAAACTATTTCTCTTACTGTCTTATTTCTGTTTTTAACTTAATAATCTCTTTCATCTTATATAGCATTAAGGTACTTTGAGAATAAGCCCTACATAAATTTTTATAGATTTCTGTTTAGTGGAGTCAGATTTCACCTTATACTAGAATGCCTTTTTTGCGTATCTTTAAAGTTAAAAGCCACAACTGAGGAAGGATATAGCTCAAAGTGGTAGAGCACATGCTTAGCAGGCATGAAGCCCTGGGTTCAATCCCCAGTACTTCCTCTAAAAAAGTAAATAAATAAACCTAATTACCTCCCTCCCCACCCCCCTACACAAAAAATGTTCTTACAAAAAAAAAACTTAAAAAAAAGCATGACTAACAACTGCCCTAATGTTTAGACCAGATTTAATGAACAGCAAAGAATTATCAGTAAGAGATATAAATGTTATATATATTCATGTTTATAGTATCATGATTTGACTTATCAAAAAAACAAAATAATCAAATAGCAAGGTACTTATTTAATTGTGACTTAGTACTATAACTCTATTAACATGGTTTTATTAAACGGGAGCTCAAATATACAGTGGGGAAAGATATTAGAAAGCACATTCTACCCTTGCAACAAAAAATACTGAAAGAAAAATTATATAGCAGTGTACATACACCTTTGGAAGAAGCTTATGATGTTTGAAGTATTAATATTAATGCCTTTTTATTATTAATATAGAATGAAATGAAGAATATAAAAAGGGAAAATAAGTCTAAACTCACACTTTTCAAAGAAATTTATAGTATGCTAGGCAATATATTAGGTGGTGAGTATCTCTTTGTTGGCAGTATGCAAATAGAGACACTTGAGATTTTTGTGTGTGTGTCATATGATAGTAACAGTAGTAATAATACCAGGTATTCTGCTAAGCAATTTATATGCAGTATCACATTTAACCCACAATCCTATGAAATGGGCTTCTTTTTTCTTTTTAAGCAAAGGCTGCTTTTATTTCTATTTTAAGATGAAAAAAGTGAGGCTCAGGGTTCTGCAAGAAATATAAACAATAATCAACACATTTGACTATGTTAAAATGAAAAGAGCTTCTGTATGACCAAATTATAATCAACAAAGTAAAAAAAAGCCACATATTAATTGTATACATGCAATGTATACAATTCACAAAGGATCAATATACAAAATAAAGAACAGTAAGGAGAAGACGCATGTAACTCGGTAGGGAAACAGGCAAAGTGTATGTATTCATTTGCTAGAGCTGCCGTAACAATGCCACAGACTGGGTGTCTTCAACGGAAACTTACTTTCTCACAGTTCTAGAGGCTGGAAGTCCAAGATGAAGGTGCTGGCAGAGCTGTTTTCTCCTGAGGCCTCTCAGATGGTGGTCATCTTGTGTCTCCACATGACCTTTTCTCTGTGCCTGGGTGGTGTCTCTTCTGGTATGGATACCAGTCATATTGGATCAGGGCTCCACCCTTATGACCTCATTTAACCTTAATTACCTCTTTAAAGGCCTAATCTCTGAATACAGTCACATCCTAAGGTACTGAGGGTTAAGCCTTCAACATATGAATTTTGGGGGGACACAGTTTAGTCCGTAACAGCATCTAATAGGCAGATCATGCAAGATGATAAATACCTGAAAGGATATACATTCAAAAGACCACAAAATACCATTTCATTCATATCAGACTAATGTGTCGGAGGGTCGTAGAGCAGAGGAACTCACGCTACTGGTAGAAGCATAGATCAATACCACCACCTTGGAGGGTGATGCAGTGGCTTGTAAACTTGAAGGTACATATCTGTGTAATCCAGCAATTCCACTTCTAGGTGTATAACCAGAGCCTGAGCAAACATTCTTAAATTAGTGTACAAGGCAGCTGTGAAGATGTCTTGGAATTTGTTGTAATGGCATTTGACCAGAGTGATATATAACAAGTTTTTTTCTTATAGTAGTTATTTGATCATTTTGTCCTCCATGTAAAAAAGTTTTGTTCTGTCTGCTAGCTCAAATCCACTCAATGAAAAAGGTTGAAATATATAATAATTCTTAAAAGGTTCCAACAGTTTATTTCATATATGTAAATATAACTATTAACACATAAGTATATGGTCAGCTAATTCTTACTTCCATCTTTCTCTTTCTAATGAGATCTCAACATTGGAAATTACTCACAGAATGTGCTAAACCAGCCAGTTGACATCAACATCTCTTCCTTCAGACAGTTTGAACCCCTGTGCAAATTTCATCAGAGAGAAGCATTTAATAATGAAATGATAACATTTCAGAATCTGACAGAAGGCTTACCTTATGCCAAGGAGCCAGAATTGCAATGTCATGTATATAATGATGCAAAAGACACCAATATACAGAAAGATTCATTTAAGGAAGAAAGTCCAGTGGAAAGTAGCACTTCCGCAGATCAAGATCAACTTGCTCTAGAGTGTGTCAGACAATCTCCCAGAAGCCCGTCTCTAATCCACTGCACTGGAGGGACACTGAAATTCATGGAAGTGTCACTGGCTAATAGCACTGCCATGGAAACTGCCTTCAACCCTAGTCAGCCTCAGAACTTCTTGTGTAAGGAAAATGTGCATGGAGATGTTGAACAACTCGTTTATAAAGAGAATAGCTTTCACCTGCTTAATCAGAGAGCTAATTATAAAGCAGAGGAGGTAAGATTTTTAATGGTCAGTACAGCCTGTAGAGTATTAAAGGAGGTGTTTAAAAAAAACACTGTATATAATCTGAGATTTTTGCAAGTAGTGCTAAATCATCTGCTCAGTGTAAGGGACATTGCTTCTCTGGGGGAAATGCCATCTGAGATTGTACTCAATTTAGGAATAATTTTTTTCTAATAAAATCAAGCCTATACTTGGATATTAGCTCTACTAAATGATAATTTCTTTGAGGTTCAGAGCTCTGTTTTACTCATCCTTTTATGCACCCTAGCATCTACATGGTGCCTTGAGTATATAAAAGCATATACTATGCTTTTATATTTAGTGAATCATTGGTTGGAATTCAAAATGTACAGTGAGGAAAGGTTGAGAAGAAGTACAGAGGTGTTAAATTATTTGGTAAGAAAAGCTTACGATTTTTCTATCACGGGATTTCTACTGACAAGCAAAAAATACTTATTTTTATACAAAAGTGAAAACATTAATTTGTCTTTTGAATTATTTATTCTGGGCATGTATGTATGTAGTATCTTAAGAGCACTGAACATGCCAACAGTATTAAGTCTGTTACTCTCTGAATGAAAAATAAAACTTTTAAGAATTGTTGTGGGCAAATAGATAACAATCCAAGAATAGCATAAGTAATACTTTTCTGTTGTGAGTTTGATGAGAACAGCTATGGCTATTATGTTTCATTTACAAGCGTAAGTTTTTAAATTCATTTATTTGAAAGCAGCATTTAAAAGAGAACTTCATTTACCTATTTTGGGTTCTGGAGAATAACATGTAAGGAATCTATTTTATTAGGGTTTCTCAAGATTATTCCTTTCTGTTTCCATTGCATCTTGTCATTAAGTCAGTCAGTTAATATTTTCAGGAATCTTTCAGGCATCTATCGTGTGCTAGGCTCTGTGCTATGTGCTGGTTATATAATGGTTGGGGGAAAAAATACCCAAAACAAGAAGATGGGGGTTTTGTCCTCGTGAAATGAACATCATGGTAAAGGAGGTAGAGATTAATCAGATAAGCATATAAAGTAAGAGTAAGTGTAAGCTTTCAACTAAAACAAGTGCTGTGAATAAAAGTTACATATAAAGTCTATATAATGTTCCATAAAATTACACAAACTTGCAACTCTTAAGTGTTGTGAAAAAAAGATGAGAGCCTTTTTACTGTCCTGGTCAGGGAGCTTGGGTAAGGCTTCCCTAAAGTAGTGGTAATTGAGCTGTGCTCTGAAGGATAAATGGGAGTAGTTTGGTAAGGGTGGGTGGAAGAGCATTCCATGAGAAAGTTAGAACATGTGCAAAAGCCCTGTGGCCACAGGGAACATAGCACCTTCTAGGATCTGAAGGAAACTCAGTGTTGCTAGGTTGGAGGGACCAAGAGGAATGTTGTATATAAGGATGGAAAGGTAGCATGGATCTGGTATCAAGGTCAATATCAGGACCTTGTAGGCCTCAGTAAGGATAGTTGTCTTTATTCCAGAACAATGGAAAATAACTCTAAAATATAACAGTCCAATATATTTAATTTCTAGAAAGTTATTCAACCCACTCCTATGGAGATAAGTGACTGGGTTGTTATGTCATATTCATTTTAATGTTTTGTTACTACAATTTAACTGTCCTTTTTTAACCCACCCCAAAACCTGTATTGTGAGCAGAAAGCCAATCATGAGGTATGTTCATCTGACATTCTAATGTTCACAGGAGTCATAGCACAGTGGGGTATAAAAGTCTTTATTCAAAAGAGATGTAACATCAGCATCATGGTGGATTGAGATGCTCTCTCTCTGCCCTTCATTCTACAACTAGTAGAACTGTCCCAACTCAACAAGGGTGCCTCTGCCCAAGACACCAGGATGCTGGAGAATTCCACACATCTGTACGTCTAAAGGAGGGTGGACTGTCATACATGGAAGAGGCAACACTTGGGGAACAGTGGAGGTGGTGCCTGAGAGCCTGGTCCCACAGCCTCAGAAAACCCATTAGCATCAGGGGAGGCAGCACACAGGATTCAAGCCTGGCCACAGCAGTGCTTGCAACCATGGATAACTGGGCAGCAGCAGCAGTGGGGCCTGTGACCCCATCTCTCCAGTTGCAGAGGCACCCATAACTCTGCCCCCTCAAACCCAGTTCACAGTGGCAGCACCCACGAACCTGACAGCATCAGACGTGGCAGAGGTCCCTGTGGTCCCTGTTGCTCCCCCCACTGGATATGGCAGAAGCACCCACCATCCCAGGGCACCAGGCAACATCGGTCAGAGGTGGTGGAGGGTGGAAAATGCCAACTCTCAAATGTAACCAGAGGTAGCTCAGGTAAGAGAAACCAAAAACTTGTGCTATAGTGCCACTTACAAAACAAAAAGAAAACAAAAGAAAAGCCTTTGATTTCTAGCCTGTTGAATCATTTGAATCAAGTTTAAAAAAAAAAAAAGCTTTACCTAAAGAAGAAAGATGTTTACTACTTCAAATGCACTGGCAAAGGAAAACCCACAGTAACACTGTACCACAGAAGGAAAATGACAATTCTCCAGAGACCAAACTCAAAATCACAGAATATTGTGATCTAAACTGATAGAGAATTCCAAATAGCTATCATACAGAAACTCAAGGAACTAAGGAATCAAATCAATGAACAGAAGGAATACTTTAACAAAAGATTGAAACTCTGAAAAAGAACCAAACAAATTCTAGACCTGAAGAACTCAAGAAGAATGCATTAGAAAGTGTTGGAAACAGAGCAGGCCATATGGAAGAGAGAATTAGTGAGTAAGAAGATAGAAATCTAGAAATGATACAGGTAGAAGAGGAAAGAGAATTAATCTTTAAAATATGAGGAAATTCTGTGAGAGCTATACAACTCTTACAGGAAGAACAACAGTAGGGTAATGGTAATCCCAGAAGAAGAAGAGAGGGAGGAAGGAGCAGAGAGTTTACTAAAGAGATAATAGCTGAGAACTTCCCAAGCCTGAGGAAGGAACTGTACATACAAGCCCAGAAGCTAAGAGAACACCTAATCACTTCATTGGAAAAAGACCTCCAAGGCACATTATATTAAAACTGTCCAAAGTCAATGACAAAGAATTTTAAAGACAACCAGGAAAAAAAGGGTGGATACCTCCAAAGGAGCCGCCATTAGGCTATGACTAGATTTTTCAGCTGAAACTCTACAAGCTGGGAGGGAGTGGAATTGCATTCTCAAAATGCTGAAAGATAAAAACCATCAGCCAAAAATACTCTATACAGCAAAGGGTATGATTCAGATATGAAGGAGAAATAAAGGCTTTCCCAGACAAAACTGGGTTCTGTGTTGGCAGGGGTGGTCATCAACACTTGAGCTGCCTTACAAGAGATACTAAAAGCAGCTCTTCTACCAGAGGCAAAAAGGCAAAAGTACGCAAGACTTTGAGGAAGGTGATATAATCAGAAAATTGCAACTCTATATCAGAATAGGTTATTAACACTGTATTTTGATATAAATGTCAAGGGAGGGAAAAAAAACAAAAAATAACCATAGCTACTTCAATTTGGTAACAAACTCACAACATAAAAAGGGATAATTTGAGACAACAAAAACAAACGAGGAAGAGGAAAAGAACAGAACCTGTATAGGCAAATGAATAAGCTATTGGCAGAAAAAGGACTTATCTATAAGGTGTTTTATACAGACTTCATCAGAACCACAAAACATCAATCTAGAGACATGAAACAAAAAAAGAAGAAATTGAGAAAAACATTGTAGAAATTCACCAAACCAAAATAGCAGAAACAGAAGGAAAAAGAAACAGCAGAGATAGAGTAACCAGAAAACAAAAGAAAAAAACATGGCACTACCAAGTCCTCATCTATCAATAATCACCCTAAATGTAAAGTAATTGAATTCAACAATAAAAAGGCACAGAGTAGCTGGGTGGATTAAAAAAGACCAACTGTATACTCCTGCAGGAGACTCATTTCAGCTCTAAAGATAAACATAGATTCAAAGTGAAGGGATGGAAGATGATACGCCAAGCAAATGGCAGCCAAAAGAAAGCAAATGTCGGCATATTCACATCAGACAAAATAGACTTCAGGCCAAGAAAAGGTAACAAGCAACAAAGATGGACAAATAAAAATAATAAAGGGGACAATTCATCAAGAAGACATAACAGTGATTAATAGCTATGCACCTGTCATAGGAGCACCAAAATATATAAAGCAATTATAATGGACCTAAAGGGAGAAATTGACGGCAACACAATAGTAGGGAACTTACAGCAATGGATAAATCATCCAGACAGAAAGTCAGCAAAAAAACAGAAGCCTTCAATGAAACGTTAGGCCAGATGGATCTGATAGATGTGTACTGAACATTCTATCCAAATGCAGCAGAATACATATTCTCAAGTGCACATGGAACTTTCTCAAGGATAGACCATATGTTGGGACAAAAAAGAAATCAATAAATTTAAGAAGATTGAAGTCATATCAGGCATCTTTTTCCAATCTCAATTGTATGAAACTAGAAATCAGCTACAAGAAGAAAGCTGGAAAAATCACAAATATGTGGAGACTGAACAACATGGTACTAAATAACTGATGGGTCAATGAATAAATCAATGGAGAAATAGAAGAATTTCCTGAATACATATGAAAATAAAAATACTACATACCAAAATCTGTGGGATGCAGCTTTTAAGGGAATTTTGCAGTAATACAAGCCTGCCTCAAGAAACAATAAAAATCTCAATCTAAACTTAAACCTAAAGGAACTATAAAAAGAACAAAGCCCCAAGTCAGTAGAAGGAAGAAAATAATGAAAATCTGAGTGGAAATAAATGAAGTAGAGACTAAAAGACAATAGAAAAGATCAATGAAACTAAGAGTTGGCTCTTTGAAAAGATAAGCAAAATTGACAAACTTTTACCTAGACTCATTGGGAAAAAATAAAAAACACTCTGATAAATAAAAACAAATGAGATTAACAGCAGGTATCACAGAAATGCAAACGATTATAAGAGAATACTATGAACACCTATATATTAACAAATTGGGTAAACTAGAAGAAATGGAAAAATTCTTAGAATCTACAACCTTCCAAGACAGAATCAAAAAGAAACAAAACCTGAATAGATGAATCACTAGTAAAGAGATTGAAACTAATGAAAAAAAACTCCAAAAAAACAAAAGTCCAGGATCAGACAGCTTCATAAGTTTATTCTACCAAACATTCAAAGGAAATTTAATGCTTATTCTTCTCAATCTCTTCTAAAATGTTGAAAAGGAGAGACTGCTTTCTAACTTGTTTTATGAGGCTAACATTACCCTGATAACAAAACCAGACAAAGACAACACAGAAAAAGAAATGGCAGGCCAATATTTTTGATGAACATACATGCAAAAACTTCAACAAAATATTAGCAAACCAAATACAACAATACATGAGAAGGATGATACACCATGATCAAGTGGAATGTACTCCAGGGATGCAGGGACAGTTCAACATCTGCAAATCAGTCAATATGTGATACACCACATTAACGAAATGAAGGCTAAAAACCGTATGTATATAAAACAGATAAACAAGGACCTACTGTATAGCACAGGGAACTATAGTCAATGTCTTGTAATAACCTATGATGGAAAAGAATCTGAAAAAGAAAAAAATACATATATGTAAACTGAAACTAACACAACATTGTAAATAAACTATACTTCAATTTTTTTAAAAAAGGTGATCATCTCAATAGATGCAGAAAAGCATTTAACAAGATTCAACATCCATTCATGACAAAAAAAAAAACCCTCAATAAAATGGGTATAGAAATATCAACATAATAAAGGCCATATAAATCCACAATCACCATCGTACTCAATGGTGAAAAACTGAAAGCTGTCCCCGTAAAATCAGGAACAAGACAAGAATGTCCCCTCTCACCATTTTTATTCAGCATAATTTTGAAAGTCCTAGCCCCAGAGCAATGAGACAAGAAAAAGAGACAAAAAGCATTTAGATTGGAAAGGAAGAAGTAAAACTGTCACTATTTGCAGATGACATGATTTTATATATAGAAAATCCTTAGACTTCACACACACACACAAAAACTGTTAGAAATAATAAACAAATACAGTAAAGTTGCAGGGTACAAGATCAACTACAAAAATATGTTGCATTTCTATATTTGCTAACAATAAACTAGCAGAAAAAGAAATTAAGAAAACAATCCTGTTTACAATGGCTACAAAAAGATTAAATACCTAGGAATAATTAACCAAGAAGATGAAAGATCTGTACACTGAAAACTATAAGACATTGGTGAAAGAGATTGAAGAAGACACAGAAAAATGGAAAGATACTTCATGCTAATTGATTAGAAAAGTTAACATTACATAAAGCAATTTGTATATTTAATGCTATCCCTATCAAATCCCAAGAACTTTTTTTTTTACAAAGATAGGTCAAACAATTCTAAAATTTATATGGAATCACAAAAGACCCCAAATTGCCAAAGCAAAAGAAAAAGGAATAAAGCTGGAGGTACCACATTCTCTGGTTTCAAACTATATTACAAACATACAGTAATCAAAACAACATGGTATTGGCAGAAAAACAATGGAACAGAATTGGGAGCCCAGAAATAAACACACAAAATACAGACAATTAATTTACAACATGGAAGCAAAGAACGTACAATGGAGAAACGATAGTCTCTTCAATGAATGATGTTGGGAAAACTGCACAGCTATATGCAAAAAAATAAAAGTAGGCCACTGTCTCACACCATACACAAAAACCAACTGAAAATGGATTAAAGGCTTGAATGTGAGACCTGAAGCCATAAAACTTCTAGAAGAAATCATAGTCAGTATACTTTTTGGCATTGATTTTAGTAATATCTTTCTGGATATGTCACTGCAGGCAAGGGAAACAGAAGCAAGAGTAAATAAGTGGGACCTCATCAAACTAAAACACTTTGCATGGTGAAGGAAACGACCAGCAATTTAAAAAGACAACCTGCTGAATGGGAGAAGATATTTGCAAATCATATATCCAATAGAGGTTACTATCCAAAATATGTGTAGAGCTCATACAACTCAACAACAACAAGATGATTTAAAAAATGGGCAGAGTTGCTGAATAGGCATTTTTCCAAAGAAGAGACACAGATGGCCAACAGGCATATGAAAAAAAAATGTTCATCACCACTAATTATTATGGAAATGCAAATCAAAACTACAATGAGCTATCACTTCACACTTGCCAGGATGGCGGTTATCAAAAAAGCAAGAAATGACAAGTGCTGATGAAGATGCAGAGAAAAAGGAACCCTCATACACTGTTGGTGGGAATGTAAGTCAGCACAGTTTCTCTAGAAAGCAGTATGGGGATTCCTCAAAAAACAATGAATAAGGTTACCATCTGGTCCAGCTATTCCACTTCTAGGTATTTATTTAAAGAATACAAAAACACTAGTTTGAAAAGATATGTGCATCCGTGTTTGTCACAGCATTATTTATAATAGTGAAGAAATGGAAACAACCTGAGTGTCTTTCAATGGATAAATGAACAAAGAAGATTTTATACACACACACGCACACACACACACATATGCACACATACACACACACACGTACAATGGAATACTACTCAGACATAAAAAGATTAAATCTTGCCATTTGTGGCAACATGGATGGATGGATTTGAAGGTATTATGCTAAGTGAAATAAGTCAGATGGAGAAAGGTAAATATCATATGATTTCACTCATATATTGTATATGAAAACAAAGAAACAAAAAGCCCAAAATAAATGAAATAGGTAAAGGGGACCAACTGTATGGTGATGAATGGAAACTAAATTTTGGGTGGTGAGCACACTGAAGTATATACAGAAGTAGAAGTATAATGTTGTACACGTGAAACGTAAAATGTTATAAACCAATGTTACCTTAATACCAATTACAAAAGAGGCCTCACAGACCTAGGGTAATGGATAAATTTGTTTTAATTCATTCAAAGTCAAAGAAAGTATATGTGTTCAGAGAAGTCTGTGTCATAGAAAATGGTGAGAGTATCAAGTTTAACTTTTCTTTTGTAAAAGTAAGTTTAATGCACATCTCTCATGTACCTACTGTTTGTGTTCTGTGCACTAAGGTGCTGTATGTACATTTTGCAATTTATGCTTAAGTATTTTTGTTAAGTAAATGTTATTGCTGGAAGTAGATGTCATCATTGTTATTTTAGAGCTGAGGAAACCACACTAGGGATCTAGGATTCAGGGCCAGCTCTATCTGACTTCAAAATTCAGTCTTTCTTCTCTTTCACACTTAATTTATTTACTATAATTTACAGATTGCAGGTTCTTCCAAAGGAATACAGAATTCTGCAGATATTCCTGAGATGTCAGTCAAGCACCAAAAGGAAGTCGCAGTGGAGGGCAGAGAGAGTTCAGAGATTGTCTCATGTTGGTCTCCGATAGGCATTTCTTGGAGTGGTGGGGCATCTCGGGAGGGCTGCATGACACCCAACACAGAGCAAAGCTTGGAAAGCCCATGGCCTCTGGAAGAGGACATGGCTTTAAATGAAGTCCTGAGGAAATTAAAACATACTAACAGAGAACAGCAGACTCTGATCCAAGACCTGCAGCGTAGTAACATGTATTTAGAGAAGAAGGTTGAAGAACTGCAGATGAAGACTACTAAACAGCAGGTGTCCGTGGACATCATGAATAAGCTAAAGGAGAATGTCGAGGAATTAATTGAAGACAAATACAGAGTGATGCTAGAGAAGAATGATACGGAGAAGACACTGCGGAATGTGCATGAGGTTTTAGTTGACACGCAACAATGTCTTCAGGAGTCCAGGAATGAAAAGGAAACCTTACAGCAAGAGCTTAAGAAGATCAAGAGCAATTATGTCAGTCTACAGGAAAGGTACACGACTGAAATGCAACAGAAGAAGCAAGCTGCAAGTCAGTGCTTAATGATGGACAGAGCCTTGAGCAAGAAAGAAGAAGAGGTCGAGAGGCTGCAGCAACTCAAAGAAGAGTTGGAAGAGGCCACCGCTTCCGCTCTGGGCTTGTTGAAAAGGGAGCAGGAGACGCGAGAACAAGAGCTCCTGTCTCTACAGGAGGAGTTCCAGAAGCGTGAAAAGGAAAACCTGGACGAGAGACGGAAGCTGAAATCTAGGCTTGAGAAACTGGTCGCTCAAGTTCAAAATCTGCAGTTCACTTCTGAGAATGAAAAGGCCAAGAATACAAAACTTCAGCAGCAGATCGACGAAGTGAGAAATGAGAACGCGAAACTTCAGCAGCAGGTTGCAAGGAGCGAGGAGCAAAATTACGTCCCTAAATCTGAGACAGTGCAGCTAAAGGAGCGCTTAGAGGAAGTGATGGAGTCAGACATGGGGAAGGTATCGTCACAAATTCAGAATCTCGTGCAGAATTTCGGGAGTTTCTAATAGTCTACTGATGCCTATTGCGGCACAGCACGTATACAAGTGTGTTTACAGAGAGAATTGTTAACAACAAAAAGAGATAGAATGGAAAATGCACCACAGGTTTGGCGAAGGTTCTTTGGTTCGTGGGTACCCACATTAAAGAACAGTCATTTCTGGCCTCTTGTAATTATTTTGATAGAGGTGAAAATTAATGTGGGAATTTTGTGGGTACCTATGACCAACTATCTGTAGCATCCTTTGGGAAAGGATTTTCTAGGTGGGGATCTCAATCTTTTCATTTCATGTCTGCCTGTTCAACAGTAAAGCTCAGTAATACAATGGCGTATTTGGTTTACAAGGTAAAACAAACCTATATTTTATCACACAGTAATTTTGTAAAGTGATAAACATTTTATTGAGAGATGATTGATACACAACATAATAGTTTCAGCTATACAACATAAAGGTTCAATATTTGCATATATTGCAAAATGATCACCAAAACATATCTAGTTACCATTCATTAAAAACAACGTGAGAGCCTCATATCAATGTGTTTTCTTTTCCCTTAAGAAGGGGAGGCACTGGGGATTGAACCCAGGACCCTGTGCATGCCAAGTATGTGCTCTACCACTGAGCTAGCACTGAATTATACTCCCCTGGCCCCCAAGAGAGGCTGTAATTTTGTATTTGCAGTTCAAATGGCTTTTTTTGGCAGACAACCTGGAAGCACATCCCAGCAGCAATAATTTTCACAAGCCAGAGCACATCTATTCTATTCCAGTTTTGTTGGCTTGCCTCAGCATATTTATAGTACAATCTTATTAACTCTGGCTACTTAGAAAAAAGGCTAGTCTGGACTAGAAAAATGTGTAAGTTTATTTTTATATTTCTTACAATAACTGGAACTGAGCTGATACGTAGCCTTGAAGATGTCCTTGATGGACTCTCTTATGGATCTGTTATCCGTATAAGTATTGTTTGCAAGTAAATGATTCTATTTTTAATGATTCTTGGGAAATATTGTTCTTTTATGTTTAAGAAAACTCTGTGTCATTTTTTCTCTGAAAAGAAAGGAGGATTATCCAAGCCAGTGTGGGTCTCAAACTTTAGCATTCATCAGCATCAGCTGTGGAAACGCAGACTGCTGGGACCCACCCTGCATTTCTGACTCAGCGCGGGTGCGGTGAGGCCTGAGGACGTGTGTATCCAACACGATCCTGGGCCTCACTGGTGCTCCTGGTCCAGGGATCACACTTTGAGAACAACGAAGCCAAGCAAACATGACCTTAAGTTTAGCTGCTCAGCCAGATTACGGCAAATTTTGAATTAGTTAGCTGAGTGAATTAGTGTAGCTATACAGAAGTTTATCCAATATATAATCTTCTTGAACTTCCTTTTTTAAGAAGCTGGATAGTTCTTTGTTTTATCTTGACTCACCAATTTCTTTACTCTGCTTTTAGTCTTACTTTGCATTAACTTTAGGTCCATTTTCTCAAAGGGTGTTCTGGGAGTGTCTGTGAGGTCCAAGGCATTTTCATAGCAATATGAAGACATTACTGCGTTTTTCACTCATTCTTTCACAAGTGTACAGTGGAGTGTTCCAGAAACCGTGTGACATGCAATGGTGTAATTGCTTTCATGGCTGGTGGCATGTGGGAAGCACTTAAGAGTACCCAGCTGTCTCCTGTGAAGCCGACATTTAAAATATTTGCGAAAAGTGTAAACATTGCCACACTTTTCTCTAATTTTCATTTTGGAAAGTGTAATTTTTTATTAAAGTGTTTTGTATATTGGCACTTAGATTTATTGTTACCTAAATGAATTAGTAAACAAATAATTTTGTTCTCAGTTGTAATTTCTAATACAATAAATATTGGTAGATATAACACGTAAACAAAAGGTTTTGGGGATTCTCAATCATTTTTAAAAGGCATCCTGAGAATCAAAAAGTTTGAGACCCACTGCCCTGAGTTTTTAAGAGTCGTCTTTTATTCAACCTTCTACCTAAAAAGTAATCCAGATTCTTTTGTCTTTGTTGTGACAAACCTGAACTGTGTACATGTAGGATGCAAAGATGATACATTCTGATTTGTTCCTGACTCACTCACCTTGTGAAGGAGAGAACCTGAATCCTCCAGATATGAAAAGAATGTCTCCACTGACCTCCAAAATTCACAGTCTTCTGGCTCTGATGGTAGGACTTCTCACATGCCAGGTAATTTTTTTAAATCGTATCTAGTATTAGGGGTGGGGGAAGAAATTCCGAGGTTGGATAATTAAGTTATGGAAGAAAAAAATAGAAGACAAAATACAGACCCTTAAACCAAACATTCAGGCCTCCTTTCCTCCTCCTGCTTCTTTCTGTTTGTCTTTCTTCAATGCCTAATTCCCACCAACCTACAGTGAGATAATATAATAAAATTAAAAAAAATAAAGACATCAGGAAAAACCCTTCATTTGGTGCTTGCTACATTTCAGGAAAGCTCAGAGCAATGGTCTTGCGCTCCAGGGCAGTCTCCTCATGATTAATCAATGCTTGTTCACAGGAATGAGCAGTTTACTGGATCTAAAATACAGCTTCAAAAAAAATAAAGTAAAATAAAATACAGCTTCGGGGCACAGGGAAGGCTGTGCAGAGCTGTGTACATTAGTAGAATGAAAAATGAAGTTAGTGTCAGCTGAGTTCCAATCCCGGCTTCACCTCCGCCTGGCTGTGTGACCTGGCCAAGCACGTTTTCCTCTCTCAGCCTTAGTTTTCCCCTGTCGCCATGGAGGTTGCTGTTCTTTCTCAGTCTTCTTTGCTGGTTGCTTCTTCCCTACCAGACTTCTCGGTGAGGGAGTCAGTCATCAGCCCTCCTCTTAGTAGATTTTATCCCAGGCCAAACCAACATCTTTGCTTAAGCCTTCAGGATCAGAGACTCGATGAGTATGTCATATGCCCTCTTCTTAATGGAAAGTAAGGCCTTAATAGACACTCAGCAAATATTTGCTGACTTCCCATCCTGTCCTTGGAGGCGTGTAAGGTTACTCGGCTTTTCGTGGGTTCTCTCATTCAATCCTCGCGCCATTCTTTACCTTATCAGGCTTTTTCTTTTTTTTTTAAACATGGAAAAACAAACTGAGGCTTAGAATGGTTGAGTTTCTGGTCCAAAGTCTCACATACGGTTAGGGGGCCGAACTCAGATACAAATCCAGGTAGTCTGACTCTACTGTGTGCGCTTTTGACCCTTAGGTTATATTGGTACAAGTATCTACATTGTGGGTACCATTGAAATATTGATATTTCACTGAAATATCAGAGTTTCGGTATTATTGAGGATGTCTGATTGTTCTGGTGTCAGGTATAACAGTTTGTCTAAAGTTAGGATTTGTAAACTGACTAGGAGATGGAGGTATGAGAGTGTAAGCATGTACAGTTATTACAGATGACTGTAAACTTCCCAGCGATTATACTAATTTGTCCCAATAACAATTTATGTACAAGTATGAATCCATATGACTTCTTTCCTCATTAACCCTTTGTTAGATGTCTTATGATGAGTAATTGAAGAATTGAGTTCAATACTATTTTACCTCCTTTGGTTTAGCCACTTACTTTGGAAGGGAGATTTGTTTTGTTTCTGTTTTTCCCTTCTTCTTTTTAGCATTACTGAAAACTTTTTAATATAGCTTCTCAAAATGTTACCCCTAGGACATCACCAGTCCCGATGCTGAACATTTCAAAGAGACTGAGAAAGTTAGTGATATAATGCTACAAAAACTGAAGACTTTTCATCTAAAAAAGAATAATTTAGATAAAGAGGTACTGTATTTATTTTTCATTCTAAAAATTAAATCATGTTTAGTGAAAAAAAAAGTCAAAAGGGTAATATATAAGTATAGACTCCTAAAATTTTGATTTTTTAAAAAGAATTACTTTGGGGGACAAGATTTGGGGCCCTCACTAAGGAGATAGACTGTTCAACATTTGACTTGTTTTAGAACGTAAGTATGTATTAGAAAATCTCATTCAGCTACCAAAAAATTAGTATGATTGTTTTTTCACTTTTGTATGGAACTACTGATTGCTGAAGAATAGTGTATTTTGACATTCCTATAGTGATTACAAACTTTATCACTTGGGATAATGGATCCATTGAAAAGAAATTTTATTTCTCAACTGGGATCAAGGGTGAGGGAAGAGGCTCTCAGGATGTCTTCAGTTTTTCTTTTCTTGGTGTAGTGGTACAGAGATTGAGAGATAAAATTTACAAGTGTGTTAAATAGGGAAGGTGATAAAAAGGTGTGGATGTGTGCCGTTTTTAATCAGAAGGAATGTAGAAGTGACGAATTTATCTGGCTAAACGAATAAAAACACATTCAAATCTAGGATCCAAATTCAGTACTATACTGTCAGGGAATGACTTCTCTGAACTGAGGTGGATAGAAAATTTGTTGCAGAAAATTCCAGAAAGTCTCTGTCTCCTAGCCAACCTGTAGAGAAAAGGATCAAAGAATAAACAGACATGCAGAGAAACTACTGACCTCCACTTCCTAAGCCAGCCTTCAGACATAAGCCCAGCTGAGGGTTCGAGCAGGCTGTGACAAAAATACAACTTCAAATATTTATGTTCTCTTGGTAAATTTCTATGTAATTACTGAAATATTGGCAGATGAAATGATACTACTTCTGTGATTTGGTTTAGTGAAGGGAGTTGCAGGGAGGAGGAAGTGGTTGGGGTATTAATGATATAAGATTGACCATTAACTGTTAATAGTTGAAGCCGGATGATAGTTACATGGGGGTTCATTAAAGTTTTTTCTCTCTTTTGAAAATTGTTCACAGTTAAAAAAAAATTCTGGGCAGCACACTTCAACCTCCCTGATACTTGGACAGGTTAGAATATTGAGTATTAAGATTTGTTATTACATAGAACAAATGGGAAATGATTATAAATTGCATCTAGAAAAAGTTGGCTAATTTTTTCTCTTTAAAGAAGAATTTTAATAGCCCGACTGTAGAAACAATTGAATATTAGGATAAGCTCTCCGGAGAGCCCAAGCCCACCCTCAGGTTCGGTGATTTGCTGGACCCACGGGACTCCGCGCCCAGATGCTCTCACAGCTGCGGTGTGTTATTACCACGAGGGCATCCAGCGCAAAATCAGCAGAGGGAAAAGGCACCTGGGGCCGAGTCCCGAGGAACTGGAGTCAAGCTTCCAAGAGTCCTTTCCCAGTGGAGTCACATAGAAAGCACTTGCTTCCCCATCGGTGAGTTGTGGCAGCAGGTGTGGCTGTTCCCAGGGAAGCTCATTAGAGACTGAGTGTCCAGCGTTTTTATTGGAGGCTGGTCACCAGCACCCTCTGCCCGCCCTGTACCAATGGGTCAGACCCTCCGGAAGGAAAGAGGTGTTCAGCATAAACCACATCCTTTGTACAGATAGGTTAGGCGCAGTGAGCCTTCATACCCGGAAATGATGGAGACCCTCCCACAGTCCGCATTCCTAGATGCCAGTCGGGGGGCAGTCCAGCGAGCAGGCCTCTCAGGACGGCAGGCTCAGGTCTGCTGTGTGGTCTCTCAGATGCACAAGAGCTTTAAAAACCATACGTCTTTTGGAGACCAGGGATTGGACTGTGCAGGGCTTGGTGATCTTACAAATGTTATGGAATGTAGTTTCATTTCCTCTCCTCTGAAATATAAAAATTTTTTTCCCTTAGCTACTGAAACATAAAGACAGAATCACAACTTTCAGAGAGTTAATTGCCAATGAAAAATCATTTCAAGATCAGGTTACTGAGGTGAGTTTAACATTCCCTATGTACTGTCTTTAACACACAAAAATACCATTTTAGGTAGTTATGTTCTTCTGGTGAGCGAATTTGTTGAAATCGTTCTGGCTCAGAGTTCTTCATGTCTATTACTGAAACTGCTGAGGCCCTCTTTGTTAAACTGGTAGAGTAGTCACTGTCCAGCGTTCCAGGGCGTGTGAAGGTACGGAAGTGAGTGCAGGTATGTTTCATCTCAGGTTACAGACTTTGATTCAAATGAAACCAAGAATGTCAGAGACATACCTGTCCTACTGGGAGCCAAACTGGATCAGTACCACAACCTAAACGAAGAGCTTGATTTCTTGGTAAGAGGCACCTTTTGCTGCTTTTGATAAAAATAAGATATTCCTTAACCATTACATAGGAGATACCCTTTAACCACTGCTGTGGAATAGTTGAAGATTAAAAACTGAAATCCTATCCTGGAACAGACCGCTCCACCATAGCTCTCTATGTGGCACATAAGACAGTTCCCAATTTAATATTTTGGTAGCCTTTCAAGTTGGAAGTTTGTTAACTTGTAAAGAAATACTCAGGAGGAAACATTTTATATAGTATATACTTATTTTTATCCTCATGTTCATCTCCTGCAGTCATAAAAATAAGCTCTGGCATGCTGCTCCCTCCCTAAACTACCATCTGTTTGATTCCCAGTGGTCTGTATTTCCTGCCCGATTAAGTCAAGCGCATATAAAGTCACTTTACTAGCCCTCAGTTTCTCTTCCTTTATTCAGATCTGCTTACTTTTGGTGGAGACTGTGAGTGGGTTCAGGGGTCCTAGCATCCAGCTCTGAAGCAGTACAGCACCTCTGAGACATCAAGGCAAAGACACCACGTTAAAGGACTTTCATTAATAGTAGTCCAATAACCATGTTCAAGGTTATCTCGTAGTTATCTTCCTTTACAGAAAAAAAATGTTGCCACCACTCTATCCTTTAAATTATTACATAAATATTACTTCGGATATTAAAAAGTTCCTTTTGGTATACTTTCATGAAAATGATTTTTCGACTTTTTCAGTGATTTGATTTTAATAGACTCTGTCTTTAAAATCTTTTCTACTTTAAAATATATTTTTAAAATTTTTAAATAATGCGCTCTCAATGAAAAGACAAGTCATGGGCTGGGAGAAAATATTTGCAAATCCCAGTTCTGATGGGATTTGTATCTAGAGTATGTAAAGAATCCTCAAAAACAGATAACCAAAGTCTACAAATGGGCAAAGAGACTTTAACAGACACTTCACTAAGAAGTGTATGGGTGGCAAAAAAGCACATGGAAAGATGCTCAGCACCATTAAGATGCAAATTAAAACCACAGTGAATACCGCTACACACATATTAGAACATCTGTTAAAAAGACGAACTGTACCAAGGACTGGCGAGGATGTGGAGCAACTGCAACTCTCTCACACTGTTGGTAGGAATGCAAAATGGAAAACGTCTTGGCAGTTTCTTAAAAAGTTAAACGTGCACCTGCCATCATTCTACTCCTACGTATTCTACGTATTACCCAAGAGAAATGAAAGCCTGTGTTCATACAAAGACTTGTATTTGAAGGTTCCTCACTGCTTAATTTATAATAGCCAAAAGCTGAAAGCAATTCAAATGTCTATCATGAGATAAATGGATAAACAAATTTTGGTACATCTGACAGTGAAATACTACTCAGCAGTGAAAAGGGGATGAATTACTGATACACATGCAACTCAGAGTAATTATGCTGAGTGAAAAGAGCCAGACAAGAGTAAATACTATTTGGTTCTGTTACGTAAAACTAGAAAATACAGACTAATCAGTAGGGACAGAAAGCAGATGCGTGTTGCTTGGGGCTGACATAGAGTATGGGAGTCGGGGAAGGACAGACAGAAAGGAGGGAGGGAGAACTCAGAGGCAAGAGGAAGCTGTGGTGGGGGTGGGGGGTGAAATGTTAGTTACCCTGATTATGGTGATGGTTTCATAGTTGTACAAAACTTACCAAAACGTATCAAACTCTACCCTTTAAAAATATATAAAAACATATCAAACTGTACACTTTATAAATATCTGGGGTTTATTGTATGACAGTTATGCTCTTAAAGTGGTTAAACTCTACATAGATTCGTTAGCAGAAACTTAAAATTGGGTTATTTTTCTCTGTAATCCCCAAAACTGGCTTTTACAGAGCCATTCCTTTGTCTCTAAAATAAGTATTAAGGACTCTTTTGTTCTTCTTTCTTTAATCTGAGGTTAGCAAATTTTTTAAAAAAAGTATCAATCTGAGGACTTAAAAGGGTTATTACTTAGATCTCGAAAGCCAATAAAGAAATTCGAAATGTGCCATTAAGTCTGTGAGAAAGAGCAGAAGTGAGGAGGAGTTCCATGTTGCTGCAGGAATGTCATGAGGTACGTGGAGCTGAGAGTGGAGCTCCACCCTCCAGGATGCAGTGGGAGACTCAAAGGGATGGGCTAGGATAAGCCCGATGCTGGTGGCCAGTAAGTATGGATTTTAGCCTTTTCCACTTCTAGACATGCCCTTTTAAACATCATTTAAATTCTCTTCACCTTGGATCCATTAAATTAAAGTAATGTCTGTACTCATCCCTACCTCAAATAATGTATGTAGTCAGAGGAGTCGGATCCCCTGATTTGCTGTTGTCCCCATTAATACATTTACATAAAGAGAAAGAACATGAAAGCTGTTGTTTCTGCAGCAAATTTGTTTTGCCATTGCTTCCTCTGGGGTTTCACACTACAGACATGTAATTATGTATAAATAAGTATATTTAAATAAATATTAGAAGTTTGATGGCCATTCTTAACATTGTTATTTAATGGGAACATTTCTGTCCCTTTTCTTCTAAAGTTGCTCAGTGAATCCCCTTTCCTGATAATTAATCCTAGATGTCACTTTTAGAAATACAATTTTTAAAGTTTCTATTTTTTTTGCAAATAAAAATTGGACCATAAGTCAGAGTGTGACATATGTTGAGCTGAACCTTTAAAAAAAAAAGAACTCATTTATGCAAGTGAGACTGTTTATCAAACCTGAAAATGCATCACCCAGCACAACATCAGGGCTTTACTTCGGATAAAATCAAATGTCTATCCATTTGTTATACATGGAAAGATGGTGGTGAAGATTTGGGGCTAATGAATAGATGTATTCACTAACAGGAGTTTAATTATTTGCAAAGCTGTCTCATACTATTAAATTGGAGAAAAGCTGAACCATCATTTTAATTTCTGCTTACCTGGTCGAAGTACAGTCTAACTAGGACCTGGCTTATAGCATCTCTTGAGTCACCTGTGGTACACAGCAGCTTAAGGGAATGTTGGAATACAGCTCCGCTCACTATTCTCATCTGTTCTTAGCATCCATATGTGGTTTTCACGGCAGTTTCCAGGTAAGTATTTTTACCGCTGTTTCTCCATAGATAGCAAAATTGGGACATCTTCTAGAGTCGAAAAAAGACCACTGCAACAGACTCATTGAAGAAAATGACAAGTATCAAAGACATTTAGGCAGCTTAATAAATAAGGTACAGATTTTCTTCCAGAAATATTTGTCCTTTTAAAACTGTGTCAGATGTTAAAGCAATAGACTTTTGGTGCTAAAAGGGATCTGACGGATGGTGTAACACAATTACGTTGTTTCCTTTCACTTCATCCCATAGCCTTTTAGCTGAAAGCTAGCAAAGAACATTGTGTGTATCTTTCTTTGTGCTGTCAGCAATTTCACCTCCAAATATTGCAATTTCATTTTGAGGGTCATTCTAAATCTTGCCCAAGGTGGTGTTCTAGTTTACTTTTTAGAAACTACGTAAACTTTAACCAAGTGGACTGTAACCCTGAGCTGATAAATACACCACTTGAATGTATCACAGTTGACTGGCTACTGTTACCCATCTTTTGACACTTCACTTTTTCTGTGTGATGAACAGGCACCTTACAATTCTACTTGTACTCATATTCCTGATTTCAAAATATAAGGAAGATGCTCTGCCTATTGTAAAACTTTCTGCAGTGGGAATCATATAACTGAGCTTCAACTTGTACAGATTTTTAAAAAGCAAAAAAATAAACAAGTATTCTAGAATTTATCACAGAATAATTGTTTTAGCTATTTTTTCAAGGTTACATCATATGAAGAAATTATCGAATGTGCTGACCAAAGGCTCGTGATATCCCACTCCCAGATTGCGCGGTAAGTTGAAAAAGATTAATTTTTAATTTTGTAAACATCTGCTGATATTTCACTCTGGCTTGCTAAGTTCACTTTTTTTGACTCTTAGAGGAAAATGTGCTATTTTCTAAGTCAGGACCATTTTTCCTTGGAATTTCCATATGAATTTTAAAATCAGCTTGTGAATTTCTGTTTTAAAACCTGCTGGGGTTTCGACTGGGGTTGCGCTGAATCCGCTCCCACGCGGAGATCCGGCCGCCTGTTGGCCTGGCACCTTCACTCCACTAGAGGGCGCTGCTTTGCTCGTCTGGCTTGGGTTGGTGGTGCCTCAGACGGAGGACGCCGCTTCCTCCGTGGTAAATACACGACTGCGTTTACTTGGACTTGGGCTGTAGCTTTGATCTCTGAGCTCTAAACGCAGGAATAATGTGTGTAAATATATTCCACTGGTGCTTTGTGGCACACTTGGAAAAACTTCTCATTTTCCCTCCTTGGGTATCCTCATCCTCCAATGTTTAGGCCTTTCTTTTCAACTCCAGAAATACAGATTTACTCCATGCTGTTTCTCTGACTATATGGCATGATAGCCTCAAAGGGCCTGTTTGGTTTTTTATTTTAATAAAAATTTTTATTAAATTGTCACATATATAAAGTATACTAATTTTAAGTATTTAGATGAACCATAACTTTTTTCCATTTAAAAAAATTTTTTATTGAAGCATAACACAGACGTGAAAAGTACACCAATCTAACATATACAATGAATTTTCTTATTGTGAGAAATTGAATATAATTCTCTAACCATAACTTCTTTTTAATTGAATATAATCAATTTCAGTGCATCAATTCTGGCATACAGCGTAATGTCCCAGGCATGTGTGTGCTGACCAAAACACACACACATACATATATTAGTTTTCATATTCTTTTTCATTAAAGGTTATTACAAGATATTGAATATAGTTCCCTGTGCTGTCCGAAAGAAATTTGTTTTTTTTAATCTATTTTTATGTATAATGGTTAACCTTTGCAAATCTCAAATTCCCAAATTTACCCCTTCCCACCGCCTTTCCTCTGGTAACTATAAAATTGTTTACTATGTCTACAAGTCTGTTTCTGTTTTGTAGATGAGCTCATTAGTGTCCAAAGGGCCTGTTTAACATTGTTATCTCTTCCCGGGTTAGACAACTTCTCCTCTTCAACCTTTAAAAACAAAAGCCCAACAATCCCCGGGCACTAAGGCAGAGAGGTCAACACGACAGCCTGCAAGTGACGTCCTGAGGCAGATGTGCTTTGTTTGGTCCATGTGCTATACAAAATGTTTTTGAATTATTGCCAAAATTTAAAAAGGGTGATTTTCTGTAAAAATGTAGCTTTCCATCTCCCCTTTGAAAATAAGATCTGACATCCTTGCTACATACAGCATTCCCGCATGGCAACATTTGGCAAGAGGTGAAAAGCAGTTTCTTCCTCTAGGCAGTACATGCCCACTGGTTTGTCTGAATCTGCAGTTGTCTGGCTGAGTCTTGTCACATACTTGCCTGACTCTCCCACAGGCGTTTGAGGTTATGCCCCCGCAGTAGAATTTCCTGTCCTCTGAGGGTCTGTTTACCCTCTCTTGCAGTCTAAATAATGACCCCCACCATATCCAGATCCTAGTGCCAAAATCTGTGAATGTTTCCTTTCCATGGCAAAAGAGATTGTGTGGATGTGATTAAATTAAGGGTCTTGAGATGAAGAAATCATCCCGGGTTATTCTTGGGGGCCCTAAATGCACTCATAGTTGTCCTTATAAGAGGGAGGCAGAGAGGGATGTGATGACAGAAGAAGGCAGTTTGATTGTGGAAGCAGGGTTGGAAAAGGCGGTGCAGTGAGGGCCCGAGAGCCAAGAAGTGAGTGCAGCCTCTGGAAGATGGAAAAAACAAGGCAGAGGACGGCTCCTCCTCCAGAGCCTGCGGGTGGGGGGGCACATCCTCACCGACAGCTGGGTTCAGCCCAGCGAAGCTGCTTTCGGACGCCTGGCCCCATCACTGTGGGAGAGCACACGTGTGTGGTTTAAAGCTGCCGCCTTCATGGTGATTGGTCACAGCAGCCGCGGGACACTACATGCCCTCCCTGGATGGCAAGGGAGTTTGGGAGGAGACTGTCTTCAGTGACTTTGGCCTCCTAGGGGCAACGGGGGAACCCACCAGGATCTCTGTTGCTATGAGCCTGAAAAGCAGTAGATCTCTGGCAGTCCACCTGAGAGCTGGAGTCCTTCCTGTAACAGTATTGATTGCTTTCCCACGTTAAAGCAGTTCACAGCTCAGGGGGCGGGGGAGGGGAGGCAGTGTTTTGAACTTGTTACCCTCAGGATCGTGTTGGGTTTACTCGCAGAGCACTCAGCTTTCTACTCACTCTGGAAATGAGTGGAAAATCATCCAGGTGTCACTTTGTAGGTTTACCGCTTCCTCCTTGCCTTCTTCACCACTGCACCCTCTAAAGGGAAAGTAAGTCATTTGAGCTGCTGGGAGAGAATTCCAGATGCCCACCAAGTGAGGTGGGTGGATGATGGTAGACCACCATCAGATTTACCTACACAAATCCTCCAGTGAATCTAGCAAAGTGTTTGTTTAGAAAAGTCAATTTTAGTCATAAGTTTCAATTGTTTCTTCTTTCAGTTTAGAAGAGAGAAATAAACATTTGGAAGACTTAATTAGAAGGCCCAGAGAAAAAGCCAGAAGACCAAGGTAAATTCTTTCTTTTTCTAGACAATAATGTCTTTAACTTTAGTACATATGTATAATACTGTTACACATTTTTTAAAAAACCTTTTTTATCCCAGTTTATGATAAACAAGATAAATTATATAAAAGTGCTTGGTATTTTGCCTAGATAAAATAGTTGTTTAATAAATCTTTGGGGGGGGGACCTAAATTGGGAAGCCAGGCTCCCTGCCCTCATGGAACTTACCATCACTTCTGAGAAAGATACTATGAAAATTATGAGCTAAGATTTTGCCTACAGTAAAACAGCTTACCCTGATGTAGATACACAGCAGACCAGATTTTATAACCAGACTTTCTTACACTAATGTTAAATCTTATAATCCATTATTTTAGAAGACTCTCAGCTCTCAGTATTTCATGATACAAGGAATATGGACAAACCCTATGGGGTTGATTAAGACCATAGTAGGATGTTAAAACGGGGGTCTTCCTGGCTTAGTTCCTAAGATGCTAATAGAACGTTTACTGAACATTCCCATGATGAGTGAGTCTGCCCGTTGTGCAGAGGTCCTGGGGGAAATTTCAAAGACCTTTTGTCATGACTCATATCCCTTGGCCAGATCCAGGATACAGAATATTCAGAGAGTAGGGAAGGTTGCAGAAGAGATTTCCTTGACTCTGTCATGTTGTAAGCCCCCCCCCCCAGGTCATCCTGCCTCTGTTACCTAAAGCCTGGTGCGGGGCCTCTGGGAGATCACCTAAAGAGCTTTGAAATGTGCTTCCTTAAAGTGGGGACACAGAGGGTCAGTGACGGAGAAAACAAGAGCCCGACACGAGGCAGCATGACAGAGGGCTGGGTTGAGGGGGCCTCTTCCCCCCGAGCTTGTCATCAGGACGAAGAATGTATGTGACAGTCTCTTAAGAACCAGGCAGGTGAGATCTGAGTTATCCTGGGCTATTCCCAAGGCTGGCTGGAGGCATGCCGGCAGCTAGAGGTGGGAAGGGTGTTCCTGCATGCTTAGGGGCTGATGAAGCAGTATCCGGTGAGCACCGGGACAGAGATGCGTCAGTCTGGGCCGAGGGAACTGTAGGACAGAGCCCCCAGCAGTGGCAAGCTCTGCAGAGGAAGAACCAGCCAAGCCCAGGGGCTCTGAAGCCACGCAGCCAAGTGAAAAGGTCTCGTCGCCTGGCCTCTCCTCCCTCCTTCTGCAAAGTGGGGAGGTGCTGGGTGAAGGGAGTGCAGAAACTAACCTTCACGCACAGGTGGTGCCCATGCCCTCGAGCCTTAGCTTGGAGAGAGGGATGAGGAGTTCTGCTCCAGAATGAAGATGAAGGCGTCCGTTGTATTTAAGACTGGACGTTCTGCTTACTGAACTGAGCTGTGCTTGAGCGTCACAGTGCGGGCTGGCTGTCACCTTAGAGTGAGCAAAGAAATCACTGGGCCTGCAGCATATTCGGCCAACGGCAAAGGGGACAAGCTCCCCTGAGTGAAAAGAGTCTGAAGTGGAAGTGGGAGGCAGACGTGAAAGTGGCATTTGGATTATGTCATGGGTCACGTCTGTTCCTCATGCCATTTGCAAATACAACTGTGTTCTCAAAATTCAAAAGCCCTTAGCAGATTTATGGTATTATTTGCAAAGTGACAGGTGAACTATGATTTTCTCCGTAATGTGGAAGACTATGATCTGATGGTCTGGAATGTTATACAGAATCAGTAATTGCTCATTTAAACTGAATATGAATCTTCTCTGCATTGCTGAAACTGTGGAATATTTTTTTCCAGGATTATTTTAAAATAAGAAATTTTGCATATAAATTCACACATTTCCCTAGTTTAGACAGTTGTTGGCTTATACTTGGCCTATCTCCATGGCATATTTGAAGCCCATTGGTACAGATTTAGACTGGCCATGAAGCAAGTGTGTGAGATGGAGCAGAACTCTCAAGGCCCGTTCTAGCTGATGAGGCCGTTTCTTAGAAAACTTAAGACGTACATCAGCCTTCAGCCCCCACCATCCATGAAGCCTCCTGTGGACCAACTGACTTCAGTGAATTCAACACGTGAATACGCTTTAGACCACCTCTGCATCGTCTCAAAGCTGCGGTGCTGCTTTGGACAATTGTCTTCAGTAGTGGAAAGAGTGGGAAATGGAGAGAAAAAGTGATAAAGTGACTTTGACAGTCTCAGATGTCTTATTTTGGCCTCTAGTTCTTCATCGCTTTCAAGGAAGTTTGTTGGGTTTTCAAGTAATAACAAGAATCTGATCCTAAGTAAATCTATGAGAATGTTAAAACAGAACGAGACTGTAGCTCAGTGTCTTTCTGTCATTGCAGCAAGAACGATCCGCATATTATATACCGAAAAGCTTTGTCTTAGTCTTTTCTGGTCTCATCATTCTATCCTAAATCACAGTTTCTTTTTGAAAAGTGAGGGAAAGCACGTGTTACAGAACAGCATCCTTCGCTCACTGTATTCGCTGTTCTGGTCCTCACCGCCACCGCTCCTTTTCATTTGTTTATTTTACATTATTCTCTTTCTGTTTCCTACAGACGAAGAAGTCATCAGAAGTCCATGACCGTGGTAGGTCATACTGATGATCATTGTAAAGAATGCTACATTTCCATGTAATTTGACAGTTGCACCCGATTAAATACAAGTTCCTAAAGTTACCTTCCAGTGAGGTTCAGCTGAGCTTTCCCCTCTGTCCTCAGATGAGGGCCTCCTTGGTCCTGGAATTGGAAGCCCCTCCTTCCAGTGGTGGTGGTTCCCTGGGCTTCATGCCCACGTCCACTGCTTCACGTCAAGCCCTCGTCCTTTCACCTGGCCTGTTACGGTCATCTCCTTACTCGTGTTTCTGCCTCTAGTTTTGCCCCCCTCCCTCCATCCTCCACAGAGTAGACAGTGATCTTTTAGAAGCAAAATATGATATATCCCTTCCCTACATGAAACCCTTAAGTGCCCGGTCACAGTCAGGATGGAGTCTAGCTCCTCAGCGTGGTGTGAAGGCCCTCTGTGATCCAGCCCTTGCCTTCGTATCCCACCTTCTCATCCACTGCTTCCTCCTCCTCATCATGCACACCAACCGTACCGAACTGCCTGCAGTGTCCTGACCACGCTCTGTCACCTTTATGCCTCCGTCTGGCCCATGCAGCGTCCCCGACCTGGAGTGCACTCTGCCCACTCCTTTTCTCCCTACAACCTCAGTTCCCACCTCGCAAACCCCTGCCAGCTCCAGCTCCGGCTCCTCTACGAAGCCTCTCCCGCCCTTGTTCCTCCCAGGTGCCCACACTGTACCCTTTGATAAAATAGCACCTATCACACTTCCTTCCTGTTCTCTGCTCGCATGTCCCCTGGCTTGACAAGAAGTCTTTTAGCGCAGGAATTGTCTCATATTCATGTTGGTACTCCCAAGCACCTATCCCATAATAGGTACTAAATAGGAGTTGGCATTAGGCAGACTTGGGAGCCAGGCCCAACGCTGTACTTGCTGGAGTAATTGCCAACAGAAGGCACAGCTGTGCCGCCCTGCCCACCCAGGCCACGAGTGTGTGTGTTCATGAATAGCGGGGCCTCTTTGTGACCAAGCTTTGCGGGAGAGGGTGCAATCAAGGGACATGTTTCTGTGTGCCCCACTGAGACCCCACTGTTGCAATAGCTGAGTTATAAGGAACCTTAATCCTGCCAGCTGGCAACCAAACCAAGGAAGATGAAACTCAGCCAGCCTTGTTCCTTGTCATATTCCTTACTGGGAAAAGGTTGAATCAAACAAAAATTTTAATTAAAATATAGTACTGGTATTATCTGTGGAGTTTGTCTGTCTGCAGGTTTTCCTTGTACCCCTTTTCCATATGTAGTCAAGAACTAGCTGTTTAGGGAATAAGAATTCTGTATGTAACCAAGAATCAGCTCTTCTGTCCCTGGTGTCTTTCCTGAAAACTTAAGAAACATTTTCTCCTTTCATTTTTAGATGCCAGATATTTTAGAAGGAAAGAGAAATGACTTAGATTAAACAGGACTGAAGATTAACAATCATTTTTGTCAACCACTCCAGGAGCAGTCATTACTAAGTATAGTACCCAGATCAATCCATAGAAATGACACATTAAAATCTATATAAATGGTAACATTTCACATTCCAAAACAAAAGTGACGACTTTTTTTCTAATTTCTTCCTGCGAACAAGCATATTCTACTTTAACGTAAACAGGTGAACATAGTGGCTTCTTTTCCAAGGACCTGCCTGTTTTCACTCTCGCAGAACACTACTCCTGAACCACCAGGCCTTCTAGGGACTACCTAAAGCTAGCTCTGTATCTATCTCACTCCAATATTGTTTCTCTCTCTCTCTGGGCCGGCAAGCTCTTCCTATTACTAACCAAATTTTGCAAGACACTTAACACTGAAATCCTTTGGAATTAAAACCCACCTTAACGTAGTTTCAAGAAATTAGTTCTGAATTTAAACAAAGGAACTAGAGACAGCTGATTTTTTTTTGTGAGCTGTATCAGAAAAATGAAGTGTACGTAAAATACATATTATCCTTTTGATAAATCACAGAGCCAGGATGGAGGTCTCATTATTGAATCAAAATATACCTTGAATGGAAGGGAAGAAATTATTTTATTTCACTGAAATTAGTTTTGCACATAAATTAGTCAGGTAAGTACAAGAGGGAAGTACGTGAATAATCTCTATCTGGCCCTGAAGGAAGTTTTGAATAAATTAAAGTTGTTTGTTGAAGTTATTTTTGTTGAAGAATCTAAAGACAGGTCTTACATGTTTTTTGAAGCAGAAAATTTGTTAATTTCTCAAATTCAAAAAGTTGCAATACAATTTAAGACAAACCATGAGAAAGGCACAGTGAGTTGCAGCTGTAACAGTGCTTCATTTGAGAAAATTAATCCCTGCAAGCTTTGGAAATGATTCAAGTTGGGTTTTTTTTTTAATGCATTCTTATTTTTTTCTACTGTTTGCTTTTGTTGGTGGTGGTGGCTTTTCTTTTTTTTTTTTTTGATGATTCAAGTTTTAAAAAGAGACATTATTATTAGTTTCATGGAACCCTCTAGGGAAAATTAAGATATGATAGGAGAAAGACAAATATTATGATAAAGGTGGCTAACTTGGCATCAGAATCTGCACACGACTGTGGTGAACCCCTTGGAATGGGAGGGTTAACACGGTTGTCTACAAGCAGGGCTGTGTGCTAAGTGCTGCCTTGGACATTTATGATCTTTCACCTGCGGGCTGTCTCACAGGGAGTGTGCCTCCTTTGGCATGTGGCTCAGGGATGCAGAGTCTAAGCCAGTCCACCTTTCAGTAAATATTTAGTGACTTTCAATAAACCACGTGACGGCCTCTTTGTTAGATGCTGAGGATAAAATGAAAGACCAGGCAGGGATCGCCAAGGGCCACGTAATCTACTGGGGGAGGTGCATCCGTGACTCCCTTCTAGGTGGTGTGGGTCTAACTGTCCCAGCTGATCTGGAGGCACAGACAAGATGGCCCTGGACTATGTGAGAAAACCTCCGGGCGGAGTTCACAGAAATGATGACACCTGAGCCAGATCCTCGTCACTGACTGAATGGATGTTCCCCAGGTGCACAGGAGAGGGAAGCTCTGCTCACTCACAGCGTGGAGGTCCGAGGTACCTGTGAACCACAAGTAAAATGTAAAACCGACGTTGCTCATATGGAAGGAGGTGCAGATGATCAGGAACAGTGGTACGTGCCGTGCTCAGAAGTGTGAACTTACCCTTATGAGAAGCAAGCTCTGAAGGATTTTAAGCAGAGGAGTGAGTGGTCAGTTACGTGTTTTGAAAGATCCTCCTAATAGTGCCGTAAAGGATAGGGTGATGGTGAATGATGCCAGAATCAGAGGCACCGGATGAGATGCTCCTCCAGTGCTCCACGCTAGAAAAACCTATCCCGGAACTGAAGTAGTGCCGGTGGAAATAAAGAGGAAGACACGAATGCAAAGTGATTTAAAAGGCGAAATGAAAAGGATTTGGTGATTCGCTATGGTAGTGAAGGGGGAGGAGTCTAGGGAGCCTGGCTGGGGTCGGGGTTGTGGTAGTCTTCACAGAGGTGGGGAAAACGGGAGGGGAAGGTGGGGTGAGCGCAAGGTTGCCGTGAAACATCCGGGGACGTATTCAATAAGCAGTTAAAGACGGGCTGAGAAGGATCCCGTGGTCAGGGGGGACTGAAGACGACGGGCGAGGAGGGGAGCAGGGATCACTGATGAACAGTGGTCTCCGAGGCGGAAGGAGGGGCACAGCCCTGGTCAGGGCAGCTCCGAGCTGTGCCGTGGGGCGTGGAGGAGGCTGGAGGGAGGCCGAGGTCGGAAGTAGCTGCAGCCTCTGCCCTCACAGAGCGGAGCTCTCGCCACAGGGCAGGACGGCGAGGTGCAGTTTCCTCTCCTCCTCACCGCTTCTGTATTTTCATCCACTCTCTTCTTCTCCCCCGTGTTCCTTGTTTCCTTAATTCTGACCCATTGCATCTTCTTGAGGACTTGCTCCGTCAATCATTTTCACTCTCACACCTTTAGTTTATAACTCTTCATGGAATTCTTACCCTCGCCTTTAAAAATATCCTTCCTGCAGCCCTCTTTTCCTCTAAAGCTATCACATCTTATCTTAATCAAGTAGGCTGTCTGGACTCATAGTGTTTCTGATAAGTTTTTTTCCATATAGCCAGTCTCACTAGGCTGCCCTCTTTTTTAAAGGCTGTGTGATATTTCATTGTATATATCTGAAATAATGCATTGAATTACATTTTATGGGCAGGGACTCCAGTTCTTACTCTGTAGTCCAGAACTCACTGCCTTACATGCTCGGGCCGCAAATTACGAGTGTGCCTTTGCCCACACTGTTTCCGTGTCCTAGAACTAACTGAACTCCCTTCTTCACCTCCACCACCCGGTTCCTCCTGGTTAAAATGTGTATCTCTCAAGGCCTAATTGAAATGTCACCCTCATCCTTATTTGAAGGTAATAACCCATCTCCTCTACTCTGTGACTTTCTAATGACTCTTAGCACATCCCTTCCTAAATTATAGCTCCTGGGAGACCATCAGCCACAGCAAAAAGAGCACACAACCTGGAATTGTAAGATTTAGGTTCAAGACTCCTCCATACTAGCTGTTGTGAGAACTGAGTTAATTGCCACAGCATTTTAAGAATTAGAGGACTGTGTTAATATCAGTGTCAGAATGTAAATATTCCATACATCGTGTCTGTGGTTAAAAGATTATAACATTTGACTGTATAAATATAACTCTTGGTACAAGTGAGTGAGAGGTAAGCTGTGAAACTGGGTAAGGATCTTCCTGTATTTAGCAAGACCAGGCCTGCAAGAGAACAATTAGAATGTGTTTTTAAGAAATTCTAGTGGGGAGGGAAATAGCTCAGTGGTGGAGCACATGCTTAGCATGCATGCATGAGGTCCTGAGCTCAATCTCCAGTACTTCTGTTTAAAAAATTAATTTTTAAAAATTCTAGTGAACAGCACATAGTGAAAATCCAACAGTTTGGCAGCACGGCTGGCGACTCTTACAGGGCCAAGGCCAAAGACAACGTTGCAAGAAGGGGATCTTCAAGTTTCCACAGCACAGCTGCTCTGCTGCTGCCTTGCGTCTCAGTTTGGGTTAGAGGATTTGAACATCCCTAATCCAAGAGCTTTGGTGCTGGAAGAAGAGTGTTTAGGAAAAACTTAGTTTTTTTTCCTCCTGTGTTTCCCCTTTATGCTCACTTTCCTACCACGTTCACAAAACCTCTAACACTAGTTGTGTGGTGGGTTTTCCCCCACCAAGTAATTCTCTGCGACACCAGCTGGGGGTCCCACAATTTAACTCAGTGTGGACACATCTACCTGCAAGTAGCATCAGATCCCACAGGTTAAGGGCTCAGTCCCCCAAGACTGCTCCCACCCCACTTCAGATGCCAACCCAAGTCCAAGTTGGCACCTCTTGGTGCCAGCACAGATCAGCTCTAAGTCAGGGGTTCCCATGACCCCTTCCTCCAATTCCATTAATATGCTAGAGAGGCTCACAAAACTCAGGAAAACACTTAGTTTAACAGTTTATTAAAGGATACAGATGAACATCTGTAGCTCAAGATGGAGATACATAAGCTGAGGTCTGGGAGGGCCCTAAGCTTCTGTCCCCATGGAGCTGGGGTACATCACCCTTCCAGGACTTGGATGTGTTCAGCAACCTGGAAGCTCCCTGAATCCTGTACTTTTGGGATTTCTACAGAGGCTTCCTCCTGCTGGCATGATTAATTATTAACTTCACTTCCAGCCTCTCTCCCCTGTCTGGAGAATGGAGGGTGGGGCTGAAAATCCTCAGCTTCTGATCATGGTTTCTGGTGACCAGCTCCTATCCACGAGCCCACCCAGAGGTTCCCCACCCACCACCCACCGTTAGAGCAAAAGAGACCCCTAGGGTTCTCATCTCTTGGGAATTTACAAGGGTTTCAGGAGTTTTGTGCTAGAGACCAGGGTTGGGAGACAGATAAAAATGTACATTTTTTTCTGTTATCTCAAATAGGTCTAAAAACTACAGTACACAAGTACATGAGGAATTACTACAACTAATAATTAGACCTTTTAAACATACGCTTCCCTATATTGAAGGATGATTTACATACTATAATATTCACCTATTGCAAGTGTACAACTCAATGATTTTTAGTAAATTTATAAAGTCATGCAGTTATCATCCAACCTAGGTTTAGAATATTTCCATCACCCTCCCCCACAGTGTTTCCTCTCACCTGTTTGCAGTCAGTCACTACTTCCCCCACCCCCGCCCCCTCCTGGGTTCTGGTCTGTCTTGTTTTCAGGGAACATGCAAGAGGAGGGTCAGTAGGACAAACCGTGATCAGCCGCTGCATCTGAGCAGGAGGTGCTGTGGCTAGTATTTGGTTACGTTTCAGGATTTCCCCATCATCTGCTATCCCATTTTTGCAGGGGCCAGCTGGCAAATTCAATTGGAATTTGACAGAGACCACCACCCCTCGGAGAGCAGTGCACATCTCTGCCATTCCCCTGGGATGTGGTTATGTTTTAAATTTACTGCCTTGGCTGGGGAGGGGAGTGGTGGTGGCACTTTCAGAGGCTTCCACTTGGCCTTTCATCCTCTTAATGCTCTTACTAGGAGCAAAGGTGAGGGTTCTTTCAGCCACCAAGTGTGTCCATTCCATCTGTACTGTCAGGAACCAGGTATGGGTGTGTCTGGTAAACTGAAGGACCCACTGCTAGTGGGACCTGGCAAGGACCCTGTTCATCTGGCTTCTGTGTACTCCCACCCAAAAGGGGGCCATGTTGGCACATCGAGTCTTGGACATAATAGGAGTTCTGACCTTCTGCGCAACAGTCCTCCAGGGTCCAGATGTTCCCCTTTCTGCAATGCAGGATTCCCGTGAGTAAACGCCCACAGGTCTCTCTGAGGAAGGATGGGGCGCTCGCTACTGCACAGCCATCGTGGTGTTTCAGGCTCCATGTCATGGCAGCCCAGCTCCTCCCCAGTTACTGGGTTCTAGGATTGAGAACAGGAGAGGAGAGCATGACTTTGTATTGGGGTCACTATTGTCAGCTTCCTGATGTTTCTTGATTTCTAAATTGTACAAGTTAAGCAATAATTGGAACACCCACATATCTTATGAACATCGCCATGGCTTTCGACACAGTACCCCTCCTGCCTGCTCCCCATCACCCATCTCCTGTTTTGACTTTGCAGCTTGTGGCGCTAGTTGCTCCCACCTTGTTTCTGATGGTTAGTGGTGTCACCTCCATTCTCACTGCTCTCAGCCCAGTTCTGTAACGGTCTATAGGGGACCGCTGGTCCTCTCAGCGAGGCTGGAGCCTTTCTCACTGGTGCGTTTCCTATCACTCTGGTATGTGGAGGTCCCCCAACCCTCTCACAGAATGTAGGCTGGTGAGGTTTCCAGTCCTCCATGGCATATCCATTCTAACAGGCCTACACGTCGGGCCAGGTGGAGGAGAAGGCAGCGGGGTGGGGTGGAGGAAACCAGGCTAGGATGGTGGCCCTTGAGCCTTGAGAAACAGGTGTTATAGAAGGGGGTTGAGGGAGGCTCAGATGAAGACTTAATTGAGATGGAGGTGTGTTAGTGCAGCGGGGGTGGGGGAATAAAAGCCCAGGGGAACAGGCGGAGGAGAAACTTGAGAGGTGAGTGGTGATGTTTTACTGTGTCCGAGGCAGAGAAACGAGGCTGTTGCTGAGGGGGACAGGGGCCACGAGAGAATTTTGGTTTTTAAGATGGGCACTATTATAGTATATTCGTATGTGGACGGAAGCCATGAATTGGAGAGGTTGAAATTTGTGATACGGTAGAGAAGAGGGGGCTGTTTTCAGAATCAGATGGTGTGAGCAGAAGATGAGACCAAACCAAAAATGGTGGGCGACCTTTGATGGGCCCGTAAACATTTTTTTGTTGGAACAGAGAGGAGGGCAGAGAGGGCACAGACGGGGGAAAGTGGTGGGTTCTGGTGCTGAGTCATCAGGTGGTTGTAACTTTGTTCTTTTTCAGGAAATACGAGCTGGGCAGAGGTCCCGACGGGGGATGAGATCTTATTTTCTGTTTCTTCCCCCCCCCAATAACTCATTCATTACACAAGGATCACAGAAGAATTTTTTTCTTTCAGAAGTGAAGTATGGTACAAAAATACCTAACTCACTGTTTTTAGCCCTTGTTAGGTGAAAACACGTCTTTGCTTGCATATAATCAATATAACTTTTTTTTGCTTGATAGTTTTTCATCTTGTACTAGGTCTACAATTGAATTTAGGCTGCAAATTTATGGAGGAAAGATATCACTTGTAACAATACAACAAATTCAACAAACGTTTTTTGAATTATCACTGGTGTCAGGCGCTGTGCTGTAACACTGACTAAAGTCACCAAGATCCCTGGCCTCAAGATGAGACAGACAGGGGCTGTAATAAACTACAGATTGTGTCAGAAGATTCAAAATGCTATGAAAAAAAGAGGGAAGTAGAAATCTCGCGTGCAAGGGAGTGTCTGGGGGGCTGTAATTTTAAACTGGGAGTGAGGGTGAGCCTCACTGAGCGGGTGACAGCTGAGCAAAGGTTTAAGGACATGAGGAAGTTCCTTAGCTACCTGGTTACCTGGGGGGGATAATACATCGAAACAGAAACTGGGGCTTAATAGACCTATTTGTTAATGATCCTGAGCATCCACAGCATATTCTGTTGTGGGGGGCAGTAGCAAATTAAACAAAAGGACATGTTTCTCAAAAAACCTGTCAGGCATCAGGAACCCAGAGCAGGTCTGATTTGAAACTCACGAAAAGGACAGTGCCTCAAAGTTGGGGAGGGAGATTCTTCCTCTGCCAGTAGAGAACTCAGCAAGATTCAGCCACATCAAAGTGGTGTCGGCAGTCCTGATGGCTTTGGCACAGCATGGTGGCTTTGGTAGCCGTGTGCAGGTGGGAGGCCTCAGCAAAGTGGAGGGCTGCTTCCTTAGGGAGTGCCTCCACTTCTCCCAGGTGCCTTAGCTGCCTCAGCGGTGGTGGCACTGGTGGCACTGGTGGAGCAGAGCCGAGCTGGTCGAGACCAGCACTGTCAGGCAGTGACATAAGCAGACAGAATTAGACGGTGCCAGCAGCAATCGCAAGCTGCCTTTCCAGGAGCTCCAGGGCAAGGAGGCCTTGAGCAGAGCCAGCGCAGGAGGAGAGCAGCAGGTGTCCTAGGCCAGGGGAACACAGAGTCTGGAGTCAGACTGCCAGGTTCAAACCCTGCACCTGCCATTGAGTAGCTTTTAAGCTTGGGTAAGTTACCACACTTGGTTTTCTTTTCAGTAAATAATATCCAACATTAAAGGATTTTCAGAGATTAAGTGACAGAGGTTGGCAATAGTAAGCACACAAGTGTTAGCTTATTTGTTTCATCATCCACATGACATCTCACGCTGGTCCAGTCCAACGGTCACTGGAATTCACGTTGTAATTGCATGACACACTAGATTATTGGTAGTGACCCAAAGTCCAACTAGATGAAAAGGAAACTGAAGGAAACAGTCCAGCCATTGCGGCCCCCACTATGTATTTCCAAAAAGCTTACTCTATTCCAGCCACTGTTCTAGGTGACTTATAATTCTGAAATTGTCAGATCAGAATTTAAAAACTGTCCCTATTTAACTGTGCGTGAGGGTGTCTGCAGAGAGAGGACCGGATTTTCCACTGTGTACTTTTTAATGCTTCTTGTTAAAAAAAAATTATGTATTCCAGTTTTTTACATTGAAATATAGTTGGTTTACAATTTTGTATTCGATTCTGGCATACAGCAAAGTAATTCAGTTATACATACATATACTCTTTTTCAGATTCTTTTCCATTAGGCTATTACAGGATATTGAATATAGTTCCATGTGCTATAGAGTAGGTCCTTGTTGCTTATCTATTTTATATATAGTAATGTGTGTCTGTTGACCCAAACTCCTAATTTATCCTTCCTCCCCTCCCCCCTTTAGTAACAACAGTTTGTTTCCTATGTCTGTTTTTGTTTAGTAAATAAATTCATTTGTATCATTTTTTAGATTGTATGTATAAATGATATCGTATTTGTCTTTCTCTGACTTACTTAATATGATCATCTCTAGGTCCATCCATGCTGCTGCAAATGGCATTATTTCACTTTTTCTCCCAAAACATATTTTTGCTCTCCAATGCTACATACAGGCAGTTCATGTTATTTATAGCACTATTATTTAAAATTGTATGAGACTTTATGGCGCAGGGCACTAAGCGGATGGTCATTTAAATAAATTAACCACTAACGACGCTAATTAATTGGAGGGAAGGGGACGGGGCCAGCGCCAAACCGCAGGTTGCCGCCAGGGACTAGGACGGGAGGCGGACTCTCGCGGGAATCTAAGGGGCCCTAGCAACCGGCCACGTGACTCCCGG